AGCTGTGCTCAGCCCCTTACCCCAGGCCAATGTGATGTTCCCTCACTCTTAAATCCTCAGCAGGCTTGCAAGTGCCACATGTGAGCCCAGAGTTAATTTATAGAGCAGACACTAAGCCTTTAGTGGCCCAGACTTGCTTTTTACCATTTCTGGGGGCAGTTTGCCTGATTCTGCCCTCATTTTCCCCAGTTCTCTCTGCCTCATTCTGCCCTCATTTGGCCCAGTTCTCTCTGCCTCATTCTGCCTTCATTTGCCCTGCAGTGGTGCCTCCCTCTCCTCCTGATGGCCACTGCTGTTTCCCCCTCTAACCAAAGCCACTGCAAGAAATTCCATCACCTTCCCTGGATGAACAAGTGAAGCAAAAGGAACACCCATCCTGCAGGTAATTAACTGCAGAGCTAAATGAATCTAAAATGTTGGAGGGGCTTTGATCACTCATACTGGGATTTTCACAACCCAGTTGTGACAGCTTCACCCCAAACCAACCCATTTTTGCTTATTTGCCTTTATAAAAAATTAGAAACCTCCTTAGGACCCAGCCAGCCTCCACTGAACAGTTCTCACCCACAGGTCTCTCCTTTTTTACCACCAGAGCCATCACCAAGAACCATCCAAACCAGTTGCCCACATTCCTGTGTCTATCCCAGTTTCCCAGTTCCCTGCCAGTTCCCAGGCATTCCTACCCCTTCTAGAACTCCAAATCTCTGCAAAAAAAGCTGTTCCCTGTGCTCTCCCTCCACCTTTTGTGTCACTTACCTGGTGAGGCACTTGGACAGAGGCAGGGAAGATTTCTGCAGCTGTGGAATGGTTAAAAAGATCCCTGCCTCAGGACCACTGAGGGCTCAGTGTCTGCTCTATAATTTATAGCTCAGCATCTCTCTTCCCAAGGTTTTGCGCTCACAGAACGACCCTTTTCTATTTCATGTACATGGCTCAGCTCAGGAAATGCCCCCAGGTTAGCCCAGGCCTTGTTAATACCTTCACCCATGCAACCTCAGGGGAGAAAACAGCTTTTTATCGTTAGGTGAAAATGGAACTGCCTGGAAAAAACAACACAGACACGGGGTTTAGCCCACGAGCAGAGATCCCAGGCCTTTGAGTTAGGAAGCTGCCAGGCTGCTGTGGAGTGAGCCAGGGCTGGAGAATTGGCTGTCAGGGCAGGGAGAGACGTGAGCCTAAAACAGAGGGGAGCAGGAGGCTCAGACACGCTGGTTCGAGGGGGATAAAGCAAAGTATTCCATTTTAATTGATCTAATCTTTGGCTCCCGGTGGAATTTGCAGAGATATCTTACTAGAATTACCCGGGGTTTATCAGGAGACAGCAATACTGGGAAAGTGCCTTTTGCAAGGCAAACTACTCCAGATCTTGAACTGCATTAGCATTGGGGCTGGCTGAGCACAAGAGCCCCACAATGGCTTCAAAGATGAGAAGGAAGGAAAAAAAATCCTGAGGAGAGAGGGAATATGTGAGATGTAAACCCATCTGGGCACAGAAATGTGTGTGAGCACAAACCCAGCACATGCATAATGCTGCCTGCTCCCTCCAGGGTGGGACTGGGAGGATTTAGCAGGGAGCAGAAAATACAGGACAGAGGCACATTAGAAAAGGCATCTCAATGACAGCAGCTTTTATCCTCCTTGTCTGAGGTCTGTCCCTGCTCCGAGTGCAAAACCTCTGAATATTAAAAAAAAAAGATTCAAAAGAGAGGAGGGCAAGAGGGACATGAAACAAATCTCTTTAAAATACAGACCCAGATATAAAATACCATGTGGGTGGAGCAAGCTAACAGAAGAGATAAAAACCAGGTGGTTTCTCATCATTTTTTTTGCCTTGACATCCTCTGTCTGAGCAGATGACTGCAAGATCTTTGGAGATGCAGAATAATGTCTAGCTCTGTCAAGATTTCTCTTTATTCAATGCGGGGAAGCAGTGAAAAAAAATCAGGTCTGATAAATGATTCATGGAGCCTTTTCTTCTGCTAATCTGTAAATAAATTTTAAAAAGCAGCTTCCTTTTGATGAATATATTCTGCAGCTCGTAGAAACATGTTGGCCTTTAAGCACAACACAGGCGCTCTCAGATGTCTCTAGTGCTGCTGTCAGGACTCTGAAAGCCCAGCCTGGCTCCTTGCAGGGCTGGATGGAGTTTTAGTGACTTACCCCAGCTGAGGATCTGCCTCTCCAACCCCATGGAATGGGGGGAGCCTTGCCTCATCTCACTGCTCAGTTTATGTCAGGGAGAGGGGACAGCTGTGGATTTACAGATGTGAAAGACAGGAAGGATCTCTGTGAGCATCTCGTACAACATCCTAAAAACACAAGCTCTAAATCCTCTCCTTGCTGCCTGTTTTACTGTCACTGGGAGCAGAGCTTCCCTTCACACCCTGCTGGGAACAACAGAATGGCCCTGCTGTGCCATGACGGCCCACACCCCATTCATTGCCTGTGCATCCTCCTCAGAAACATCATGGAATCATCAGAACAGCCCTGCTGTGCCCATCATCACAGCCCACACCCCATTCCTTGTGCATCCTCCTTAGAAACATCTACTGTACGCATCACCACAGATCACACCCCATTCCCTGCCCATCCTCCTCAGAAACATCTGCTGGAATCATCAGAACAACCCTGCTGGGCCCATCACCATGGATCAAACCCCATTCCCTGTGCATCCTCCTCAGAAACATCTACTGTACCCTACTGTAGCCATCACCACAGATCATACCCCATTCCCTGTGCATTCTCAGAAACAACATGGAATCATCATGGATTCCCGGCCCATCCTCCTCAGAAACACCATGGAATCATCAGAATAATCATGCTGTACCCATCACCATGGATCAAACCCCATTCTCTGTGCATCCTCCTCAGAAACATCATGGAATCATCAGAACAGCCCTGCTGTACCCATCACCACACTCCACACCCCATTCCCTGTGCATCCTCCTTAGAAACATCTACTGCACCCATCACCACAGATCACACCCTATTCATTCCTTGTGCATCCTCCTCAGAAATGTCATGGAATCATCAGAACCACCCTGGTGTACCCATGACCATGGATCAAACCCTATTCCCTGCCCACCCTCCTCAGAAACACCACGGAATTATCAGAACAGCCCTGCTGTACAATCACCATGGATCACACCGCATTCCTTGTGCATCCTCCTCAGAAACATCTGCTGGAATCATGAGAACAACCCTGCTGTACTCATCACCATGGTCCACACCCCATTCCCTGTGCATCCTCCTTAGAAACATCATGGAATCATCACAGCAAACTTGCTGTGCCCATCACTATGGTCCACACACCATTCCCTGCTCATCCTACTCAGAAACATCTGCTGGAATCCTCAGAACAACCCTGCTGTCCCATCACCATGGTCCACACCCCATTCTCTGCCCATCCTCCTCAGAAACATCTGCTGGCATCACCCTGGATTCACCCTTGGGCAGCTCCAGCCCCCAGCTATGGGAAAGATGGAGCTGCATCCCTGCTCACCCTGCTGTCAGTTCTGAGTTCTCTCCTCCCTCATCACCAGGTATTTGGGCTTTTTTTTTGAATTGACTTTTAATTTTAACTCCTGTTTTCCATTCAGCTACAGCAGGGGTGTGGACACTCTCAGGGAGCAGAGACCTTCAACAGCCAAAGCACCTCTTGCCTGTCAGGTTGCTGGGTTTCTCCCTGAGCAGCCAAACTGTCTCACAACTTTCCTGACTCTGAACAGGGAAGGAAAGAGAAAAAAAAAAAAAGAGCATAATTATACAAGGACATCTTTTATTTAAGTACATTCAAGACAAAAAGAAAAGAAAACAATTCAAGAACAGGATGTACCTTCACTCAAGGCTTTATCTCCCCTGCCCCTCTCCATTGTCATCTCTTTCCTTTTACGACCAGAAATTGCATAGAATTTGTTTTTTCAATCAGAAAATTAAATTTGCCAGTGTAAACCCCACATCTGTACCAAGCAGAGGGTGAGCTGCTGCTGTTTCTAGGGAAGTCACTATTTTCCTTACACAAGATCCCGGGCTAATGATTTTCTCAAATGCTGTGTGGCTGGAAATTCACCCTGGAAGCTGAGGGTGCTCCATGGGGTCATGGATTTGGGAACTCCTGGGCCTGGGGAAAGCTCAGAGTCACTTCAGGAGTGTGCAGAGCACAGCCAGGGACACTTTGGGGGTCCCAACACCTCCTCCCTTGGCTGGTGGGGATGGGCAGCCCCCCCAGTGCTCCCCACTCACCTCCCTCAAAAGGCTCCTCCCCACCCCATCCCAAGAATAGAAAGGAAAAGGAAAAGAAAGTAAAAAATAACCCCAGAATGAAACAAAAGACACAGAACCCCTGAAATTCCAGGCGTTTCAAGGCCTCTTTGAGTTCATTGTGTTCGTTGGCTGTTTTTTGGCATTTTAATATATATATTTATATATATCTATGTATAGATATATTTCTCTATATATGTAATTTCAACAACTCCTCAGATGGACTTCCAGCAAAGGCTGCTTCTCACAGGGAGCGTGTCCCATCCCATCCTCCCCTTTCCCCTTCAACCCACCTGCCACCCTCGGAAAAGGAAGAAGAATTCAGCACCTGGTGCCTTGGAGACTGGGTCCTGACATACCCAAATTAAACAAAAAAAACCCCAAAATAATGACTCCTCCCTTCCCACAGCCACAGCAAATAAAAAGTCCCCCCCTTCCCTTGGAGAACATCCCCCAGTAAGTGATGGAGAGGCAGTGCCACCGTCCTTTCTCTGACCTTGGAGGGGAGAGTTCCAGGAACCCCTCCTTGAACCCTGGGTGGGCAATTCCTGCTACACCAGCCACCCACCACATCCCTCCATCCCAGAGACAACCTCTGGACACCCACCAGCCTGAGGACCTCCCTCCTGCCCTGCCAGGCCGTGGTGGACACCAAAACCACAGCTGGGCCTCGGTGTCCATGCCACGATCCACCTCGCTCTGGAGAAGCCGGGTAACTGCTATTGATTTAAAAACGAGTTGACATTGTACAAGTCCATGTTCTGTAAAATGGAACAGGACCCTCTCGTCCCCACCCCGACGCCCCCTCGGCCTGGCGCTACTCGGGCCCGCTGCTGTTGGTGGCCTTGTCCCACTCCAGGCTCTCCTCGCTGCGCGCCGGCGACCCCGCGGCCGGCCGCGCCCGCAGCCCCTGGAAGCGGCGGCACTCGGGGCACACGCGGATGTGGGTGCAGCCCCGGGCCACCAGGGCAGCCTCCTGTGCCAGTCTTTGTGCCAGGGGGTCTGGCTCGCCCCCGCTGCACAGCTTGCCGTTGCTGAGCGTGGTGGTGCTGCGGGCTCGGCGCTCCTCGGGCGCCGCGGGGCGAGTCCGAACCACCGCCCCTCGCCTCCGACGGGGGTGGAAACTGTCCTTGCACAGGATGATGTTGCGCAGCTCCGTCACCATCTCTTGGCACACCGACACCTGCGGGGAGAACGGAGCTGGGCTGCTCACCTGAGCAAGCTCTGAGTGCCTCTGGGGCCTGGAGTGACGAGGACTTGGAGTCCTGACCTACCCAAGTTCACCTGAGCGAGCTCTGAGTCCCTCAGGGGCTCTGGGTCCTGGAAGGATGAGAGCTTGGACCCAAGCTCACCTGAGTGAGCTCTGAGTCCCTCAGGGGCTCTGGGTCCTGGAGTCATGAGGGCTTGGAGTGACCTGGAATAGTGGGAGGTGTCCCTGACCATGGCAAGCGGTGGAACTGGATGAGCTTTAAGGTCCCTTCCAATCCAATCTGTTTTAACATTCCATTATGTGATTCTGACCCCAAATTTTTATGGAGTCAGCGCTGCTGGTTTTCAGCTCCAATGCTCAGAATCTACACTTGGTTTAACCCAACTCCGCCTCTCATCAGAGACACCCCTGTGTTCTTCATTCCTAGATCAGCACAGGATCCAAACCTGCTGCAGGTAGAAATCCCATCCCCAGGAAAGGAACACATCTTTGTACACATCTTTGATCCCTTTGAAAGCCCTCAGAGCATCTCTACAGCCCTTGGAGCATCTCTACAGCCTCACTCTGGGTAGGAGTCCATGAGAAAATCATGGATTTTATACTCTGCCCAAAGGACCAAGCCTGTTCCTGGGTTTGAGCTGTCCTGGCTGGGATTGCTCCTCAGCCTGGGTGCATCACACCCCACAGACAGCAATAAACACATCCTGTCCCTTCAGAACACTTCCAGCTCCTACCTCTGACTGCTCAGAGTGTCGAAGGCTCCACAAAAATTCCAGCATTGCCATAAAAATTGCTACGATTAGGCCACAGATGAGCACCACGAAGATTCCACCAATGTTCTCCATCCCCAAGCCTGAAATAAAGCAGGAGAGGCACTCTGGAGAGGCAGACACATCATAAATCGCAAGTATCGCTGCACAGAAGCCCCAGGCTTTGCTGTTTTGTTGGCATTGTGGATGCCCAGCCAGGGACCAAAAGCACAGAGCCAGCAGTGTCCTATTAATAGCTGCCTGCATGACTCAGATGGCCCAAGTGAGTGACTTGCAATAACTGCAGGATCGAAGATGCCTGCTCAGAAATGATGATTTTGCAGATAAACAGCCAGAACGTTGGAGGGGAAGCACAAAGCAATTTGTGGACAAACTGAAAACAGGAGGGGGAAAAAGGCAGGATCAAAGGGGCACATTAATCCCTGCAAATTATTCACCCAGCTCCAGTGGCTTTGAACTTGAGAAGGAAGAGGAGCAAGGTTGTTAAAGGAGAGAGATAAAGGAGACAGGGAGGGCTTTAAAGGAAGCTGGCAGCAGGAAAAGCTCCTTTGATTGCATCACAAAGTGCTGCAGGAAAATGATTCTGGACTGCAGTGGGGATGGAGAGGCTCCAAACAAGAGCAGGATGCTGTGTCACTACAGGGTGACAAAATGGGGTCCCTGCCACCCTGGGGCACCTGGCTGTGGGTTGGGGGTCTCTGCCCAACACCCCTGGCCCATGAGGAGGGAACAGCCCCTTCCATGGACAGCTCATCCCACCTCCCCTGCTCAACTTCCTTCCTATGGATGACCACCAAACCTACCCAGCCTGCATTCCAGAAAGTTCCACCAGCTGAAAGAAAATCCATCCCTTAAAAATCTGAGCTTTCCATGTGCTGAGGTCATCTCTTCACTTGCCACCACAGCCCTGGTCCCCAAAACTGTGCCTCCATCTGTCTGTGAGATGAGCTGACCTCAACATTTGGGATATGGTTCCTGTCTCCTGTGTTTGGTTTGGGTCTCTGATTGGATTGATTACTAAAAAACATGTGCTCTGCCCTGGCTTGGCTGTGTGAGGCCATTACTCAACAAGAACATCTATAAAACTCTTCCTCTCCCTCCTGTAGCATTAAATCAAAGTGTAAGAATAGATGATTTATTGACTTGATCTCGGCGTGGCTTTTAGACATAAAACCTCACCAAAATCCTTGTAAATCGCTGACCTGTTTTGTTCTAAAACTTAGCAGGTCACATTTCTGCCTCCTCCTCCGTCATTCTTTTGGCACCACCCCCAGAGCAATGCAGGGAGTCTGTAAATCAGACACTTTTGCAGAGGTGTTTCTACAGCAATGGCAAGGCAGATAAAACAGCCCAGAATCACAATTCAGACCCAAAGCTAAAGGCCATCCTCTCCCCTCTGCAGCTCACAAGTGTTAATTTAGGCTCTACACATCCTCCTATCATTCTGTCTGGGTACCACCTCAGACACCCAAGCTCACTGAGAGATATTTCCTTTTTCCATGCAGCTACAGCTTTCCTCATCTCCATGGCATAGGGAAACAATCTAACAGTAAAAACTTGCCCAGGGTCACAGATTGTGCTGGGCAGTGCCAGACACAGCCCAGCTTCCCCTTCCAAAGCCATCTCAAAACAGCCCTCAGCCTAGATTCCACCTTAGAGCTGCCTTTGGCACAGTCCAGGGAGAAAATAAACCCTTCCACCTTCAAAAGTAACTCATTTAATAGCAATAACCTGATGTCTTACACCTTCAGCCTGGAGATGAATAACTGGGGCTGTCTGTAGAGCAGCACTGCCCAAAAGTGAGCATCACCTCCCAGCAGGAACTGCGCAGACACACACACCTACACCTGCTGCAAGGTCAAAACTCCAAAAGAGCTTCCCCAGCCCTGGCTTGGCTCTTTTCTCAGCTCCCACAAAGGTCACAAGGCTGTGCTTTTAACTGGGGGGCCTGCTGGCCTCGCAGAAAACACTTGCTGAGGAAAGGGCCGCTGCCAAAACTAAAAAATGCAGCAACTGTGTTAAGCTGGCAACTGCTCTCATGCTGGGACATCAGCCTAATGTGGTGGCTTTTATGGCAATTTGCATAGCATTACCCAAAAGAATTTGCTCCTCAGTTTACAAATGTGCTAATAAAGTCCTTGTGTCCCTTCCCCTGGCTGTTTAAAAGACGCTTTCACATGAAGCCATTAACCAGCGGGCCTGTGGTGGAGATCCATCTCCCTTCAAGGAACCCAGGATTTTGGTCTGATCCCCTCAGCCATCCATTTTCCCAGACATTCATTAGAAGCTAATTTACCCTCCATATGCCTCCAATATTTGTCATTTGGTTGTTCCCGCTATCTCTGCCCCAGGCAAAAACACACAGCGTGAGGCGCGGCGGAGCTGCTCGGCTTTCTCCTTGAGTTGTGAAGGAAGGAATCTCAGGTCAGGAGAAGGGGAAAAAGCAATTCTCAGGCAGAAAACCTGTCAGACACACAGCTGGGCATCCATCCTTGCACCTCTGGCCACGATTTTTCTGTGCCTGGTCCTTTGGGAGTGCAGGGCTTACCTTTGGCTCTGTGGTCCTCCTCTTTGGGGCACTTCCCTCCTTCCCACCACTTGCGCTTCAGGATCTCCAGGCGGTTGTTCTCCTGCAGCTGGAGGATGGCCAGGTCAAATTCATCACGGAACACGGAGCCTGCAACGCCGAGAGGGACGTGGTAGGGCCCCACCTTCCTCCCCATCATCATCCTCGCCCCTCACCCCACCCCAGCGTGCCCAGCTAGCACAGCTCCTCTCTGGGTGGCTTGGAGGGGGCTGTCAGTCCATGCCAGCCATGGAGAGCTGCAGCCATCCCTCTGGGAATGTCACCTGGTTAATGTCACCTGCAGAAGGTGACTTTACCTGGCCACCAGGAGCCACACAGGCCACTGAAGGAGCTCCATGGCAAGGGGAGCTTTGGCTTTTGAATGAGCAGTTCAATACCCTGCTCCTGCAGACCACAGAGGTCTCTCTCTCGTCATTCCACCTCCAATTCCACCTCTCTTGTCATTCCACCCCCAATTTCACCTTGTTCTAAAGCTCCTTCCCTCAAACTGGTCACAGAAATCCTGAGCTGGAAGGAGCCCAAGGATCATGGAAGCCAAAATGTCCATGCTGGAGGAGCTCAGTCCTGTGCTGGGCAGGGAGCTCTGCTGCAGTCCCAGTGTCTGCTACCAGAGATCCTTGTCTGCCACCAGAGATCCTGAGGAAGGGCCATGGGAAAGACTCTGCTTCTCCCAGTAACTCTGCACTATTGTCCCAGCCAGCAGCTTTCTGCTCCTCTTATCTGCTACGGTTTCACTGTTTAACAAGACAATGTCAGAACAAATTTAGCCCTGAAGGTAGGGATTTGTACTCACTTTGATCAGGTTGCTGTGACTTTACAAGCTTACCCATGTTCCCTAAACTAGAGTGGCTGTTTGTGTGACGGGGCCTTATGTAATCCACCTCAACTTTGTGTTGCTAAATGCCAGGGCTTAAAGGTCAGGACAAGGCTTCCAGGCTGTCCAAAAGACCAGCGGATCATCGTTTTGAATAACAACTAAACCCTTATTTAGTGGTGGTGTTCTCTTGTGAGCTCATGCATTTGAAAGACAAAGCCCCTGCATTTGTTAAACCTGGTGAAAGCCAAGTCTCTGGCCTGCAGTTTCAAGAACCACCAGCTGTTAAGACATCCCTGCTAAAAACTACCAGAATTGCCACAGCATTACTTCGACATCACTTCTGGGATTAAAACAAGGAGCACGAAACGATGCACAAACACTGGTTGGGGAAAGGAAACAGCAAAGAGCAGGTATGCAGAAAACAAGCAGCAATTTTGAGACATCTTTCACATGAATCATCAAAAGAGCCGTGGTCGCGTCTCACATGGCTCTGGACCAGAGCAGGGTCTCACACATCTGGCTCTGGACCAGAGCAGGGTCTCACACATCTGGCTCTGAACCAGAGCAACATCTTGCACATCTGGCTCTGAGCATGGGCAACAGGTAAGAAATTAAAAGGACCCTGTGAGATGCAACGTTGGCTTTTAGAGCCGGCGCAGCCTTTGGAACGCTCCGGTCCTCTGCCGACAGCCGAGAAGGACTAGAATTGTTCTTCACTGCCTACCGACGGGCATGCCAATCCCGTAGCCCTTGGTGTCCAGAAGGCCCCCGACCTGCGTGAGGTTGCAATTGCGCTGCCGATAATACTCGTTCATGGTGGACTCCAGCAGGAAGGCGTAGTTGGAGTTCAGCACGCGCGCGATCCCTTCCTCCGTGCTCTTCACGAAGACGCTGGGCTGCTTGGAGTACATGTAATTCCACATCCGCTGGTACGTCTGGTAGCGGGAGTTCTGCAGGGGGGAAAGAGGCAGCCATGGCTCAGGGAGGAGATTTTGGGGTAAATTAGATCCTGTCCTAGGTTACAATATTAAGATATTGACCACAAATTCCTAAAAAACTCACTTCCTTTTCAAACCAGGACACCATCGCCAAGAGCTGCTGAAACCAGGAGGGGCTGGTCCTAGGTTACAATATTAAGATATGTTCTATTGACCACAAACTCCCAAACAACTCACTTCCTTTTCAAATTAGGACACCAGTCAAGAGCTGCTGAAAGCAGGAGGGGCATTTTTTCCTTATCTCCTGTTAATGGGGCCATCAATGCCTTGCTGCATGACTCAGAGATAATTCCCTCCAGGAGCCATTTCTGTTTAATGAACCCACCACATGACTCAGAAGGATAACAGCCCATTGTGAGATGCTCCAGGGGGGAGGAGCATCCCCACATGGATATAATCTGGGGTTTGTGACAGAACTCCCTCCAGGAGCCATTTCTGTTTAATGGACCACTACATGGCTCACAAAATGATATCAGCCCATTGTGAGATGCTCTGCGCAGGAGGAGGAGCTAAGCATCTCCACCTGGATATAATCTGGAGTTTGTGACAGAACAGGCAGTCTTTCCACTGGATTCCCAGATGAATGACTGTCTTTTCCACTGGGTCTTTACAACACCCTTTCTACAGGATCACTGCTCCACCAGACCCACATCTGCCACTCCAGGAGGGCTGCAGCCACCAATCCAACTGGACTGCTACCAACACCCTGACCAACAGGGGGTCAGGTTGCATTCGGATCCCATCAGTGGTTTTTTCTTTTGTAGTATTGCATGTATTTTGGTTTTCTTTTCCCTTTTTCCTAATAAATTTTATTTCTGACTTGAAGTCTCTCACTGGTTTTGCTTTCAAACCAGAACAGACCCATAAAATTAAACCTCCATAACAGGCACTGCTGCAGAAAAGCCACAATGGAGAGAGGAATCAAATCTGGTTTCAGACTCAGGAAGGATTTTGGTGCCTCATCTTTGTTTATCTCAAAGAGGCCCAAATGTGTTGAGAGTTTGTTGGAAAAGCTGGGCATGAAACACCCAAATTCCAACAAAGTCTGGCAAAACAAACTAAATTCAATTTTAGAAAAAAAAAAAAAAATCATAATTTTAGTGACCACATATCAAAAACACACAAAAATCAGCTCCTGCTTGGTTGATTGAAACCTCTGGGTGCTCACACCATACTGACCATCCCTCAAACACCGTCCCAACAGTTCTTCAGTGTCAGAGCCAGACTCCAGCACCCTGAGGAGGGCACTGAGGGCTGGGGGCAGCACAAAAGCTCTCTGGAGATTGTTGCTCACAAATTTAATTCAAAAAATAATCCAGATTTGGTTCACCCCCCTGTGAGGCAAGTTCAAGAGCTTGCTGAAAAGGACTGGGGTTTTTTGTCATTGATTGCAATAAACCAAAGCTCAGCCAGCCCCAAATCCTCAGAGCTGGCTGGTGGCTGAACCACCTTGGTCTGATGAAAAGAGAGCTGAGAATGATGAATCTCTTATGCCTGTGCAGAGCAGAGACTGAAAGCTGCTTGCACAAAGACTGAATATAAACACACCCTGCTCTACATGAGCATTTTCATACTGTCAAGGGCTCGTTTTCTGTGGCTGGTGAGCGATGCTGGAGAGCCTCAGGGATTCTGCTGCTGACCCAGTTCCTGTCCTCATCTGTCCAGCTCTGTCCTCTGGGTGCAGCCACTTGGGCAGGAGACAGATGAGCAGGGGGGGTTTGGTTCTGTTTCACTGCATTTTTAGACCTTAAACCGTGTGTCAGTGTCAGGGGAAGCACTGCCAGGACAAGGTGCCTCAGGAGGGGACAAACATTCCTTCGTGCACCCAGGAAGGGAGGAGGGATGGAGGCAGTTTGCATCACTATTTAACCTCCCCGTCCTTACACCAGAGGAAAATGGATCCCAAAACAATTTAAATCACCACAAATAGGACAAAATCCTCTTTTCCAAATTTCCTCTCTCATTTCCTCACTGCCAGGCAGTGCACAGACACAGCCAGGGGTTTGAACTTGAAAGCTTTCCTCAAGTGAGCTCCTCGTATACAACCACCCCCCTCACTTAGGCCCTGCTCAGCTCATTTTAGATGTAAAGTCTGGCTTAAAAGTAGCTCTTTTCCATACCCCTGAAGAGCATAAAGTTGGCCTGAAAAGCTCAGGCTGACTCCAGAGATTTCCCAGCCTTCCAAATTCAGTTCAGACTCAGAGTGGGGGGAAAGAGTGAGAACAAGCTTTCTCTCCTTTTGGAATTTCAACAAGCAATAAATAAATAAATAATCCTCAAGCGGTTCTTTGTGCGTTCAGAGCGCTGCAGAAAAGATTCACTCATTTATTTCCCTTCTGAGCAGAGCGGGGAAGATAAAAATTAAATTGGGCTAAATGGCCCGCATAACTTTGCATACACTTGACTTATTTCAGTGCCACTGACCTCACACAGGCTCCAGCACTTTGCCTGGGTTGTGCAAACGTTTCTTTGCTTATCCCACCTGAAAGACTCTCAAATAAAAGCTAAAACCATGTGGAGACCCGTGAAAATTTGAATTCCTTGTTGAATTCCCTCCCTGTGTCCTCCACCCTGCCTCTCCCACCATTCATCCTGTGCAGGGATCTCTCCAGAGTTGGAGTGACACAGGGGCACAGCAGGCTGAAGGGACACCCCAATGTGATTGAGGGGAGCCTTGTGCACCCCCTGCCCCCCCAGGCAGCCAGAGAATGGGGTTTACTTGGAAGAAGGTCATGCTGGAGCCGCCGTGGATGGTGCCGTACTCGATGGTGGTCTGGTCAGCGAGGTCATCCACGGACTCGATGGGCACGTCCATCCTCTGCACGGTCAGGAACGCCGCCAGGTTGGCCGTGTAGGAGGAGATGATGATCAAGGTGAATGCCCACCTAAGGGGAGGGAAGGGAAGGTGTGGTTTCCCTCAGGAAATCTGCTCTCCATCCACACCCTTTGCCTTGCAGAATGCCAGAATCACTGAGGTTGCAAAATCCCTCTGTCACAGACATCTTTTATGGAAAATCCTTTCCTTAGGATTTTTCCTCCTGAGAAGCTGGGAAGTCTCAGGAACAAAATGTAAACAATGGTTATCTGCTGCTGTGGAATGCAACAGGTGCATCTGGGATTGGTCTCATGTGGTTGTTTCTAATTAATGGCTGTGACCGTGTTCACAGGGCTTTTCAGGATGAAGGAAGAGATGTAGATCTGACTCCATATTTCAGAAGGTTTATTATTTTATGATATATATATTACATTAGAACTATAGTAAAAAGAATAGAAGGAAAAGTTTCATCTCAGAAGGCTAGCTAAGCTAAGAATAGAAAGGAATGAATAATAAAGGTTTGTGTCTCGGACAGAGAGTCCAAGCTAACTGGGCTGTGGTTGGCCATTAATTGCAAACATCTAAGATGGGCCAATAACCTGCATTCTACAGCAGCAGATAACTGTTGTTTACATTTTGTTCCTGAGGCCTCTCAGCTTCTCAAGAAGAAAAATCCTAAGAAAAGGATTTTCATAAAAAGATGTCTGTGACATAATGGCCAATCACAGTGAGCTGGCTTGGACAGAGAGTCCAAGCCACAAGCCTTTGTTATCATTCCTTTTCTATTCTATCGTTAGCTACCCATCTGAGGAAATCCTTTCTTCTATTGTTTTAGTGTAGTTTTAATATAATATATATCACAAAATAATAAATCAAGCCTTCTGAAACATGGAGTCAGATCCTCGTCTCTTCCCTCACCCTAAGCCCCTTGTGAACACGGTCACATCCCTCCAAAACCATCAGTCCCCATGGGTCACCCAGACAAGTGAGTGCCACATCCAGTCCTCCTCGAACACTTCCTCCCAATATCCCACAGCCCTTCCCATGAAGAATTCCCTCCTGCACATCCCTCTGCCCAGAGAAACCCCCCTGGGAGGAAGAAGCGCTGCCCTCCTTACCAGACGCCGCTGACGCAGCGCGTGGACAGAGCCTGGGGGGCGATGGTGGAGCCCTGCTGCATGAACCCCCCCACGGGGAACCACAGCGAGTTCCCCAGCGAGTACTGGTTCACCAGGAGGTTGCAGCGACCTTGGGAGCAGGGGTGGGGGCTGTACCACTCGTACGGTGTCAGCCTGAAAGGAGAAAAAAAAGGAGAGCTCAGGGAACGTGCTGGGAAATGGGACACTTTAAAAAAAAACACAAAAGAGAGGAAAGCTGTGAAGCTCCAGCTCTCCTGGAGGCAGAGCTTTCTGAGGAGGAAATGCTTTGCTGTCAGTTGAGGCCCAGGGCTCAGAGCTGTGTGAAACGTTTGCTCGAAGGCTCAGGAGCCAGAGGCTTTCTTGTAAAGATTTGCACAAAACTTTGAGAGGCTCTGCTGTGGGCAGCTCTGCGTGCGTCCTGCAGATCCACACCACAGCAGGAGCTCCAGATGTGCACGGACTTGATGGGAAGCAGAAATCAAACATCTCTGGCTGTGCTCCCTGTCGGAGCACGAGCACTGATGGGAAGTTCAAAAGCAAAGTGTTTGAGCCCTGACTGCATTAAACCATCAAGGAAAACTCTATTGGTGCAAAGGGTTGCTCTGAGAAGGTCTGAGCTGGAGCTGGAAGCTGAGTGCTGCTGTTTGAAAGCATCCCATCCTTCAGGGACAGGACAGAGGTGGGAATGGGAAATGTCTGAGCCTGTCACTGCTGTGACTGCATCTCTCTTTCTCTTTTGCTGTTTCCAGTTCCCTGGTTGCTAAGAAAGTCAGCTAATTAATGTGCTGCACTCTGTACTGCTCTAGCTAAGAAATCTGGGGCCTGGGAGGGTCATTTTGGGGCTGCTGCCAAAACAGCTGCAGGGCTGTGCCAGCTCACATCACATTTAGCCAATATCAGGGAGCTCTTTTCATCCCTGCATCTCCTCTCTCACTGTGTGCCAGGCAGCACGAGGAGGAGGTTATTTCCTGCAGACCCTCCATGGTGGATCAAGCACTGGCAGCAAACCCCAGAGCTCTGGAGAGTCTGCAGCTCACAGGGTCAAGAGCTCCTTCCTGCTGAGCAAGGCAGGGAGCAGCAGCCAAAGCTCCCTCTCCAGAGGGGAGCTGGGCAAAGGCACCTTTCTGGAGCATCATATTTAAAACATGAGGAAGGGGCTGAAGAGGCACCAGCTGTGCATAATTCAATGGTTTCTCCAGACCTGCATTTCTGAGGCTGTAACAGCACTCGAAGAAACCATTAAAGCCCTGTCAGGATGGCAGCTTCAGCCACGCTGAGGGAGCCAGTGACAGCACTGTCCCAATTTGTAAGGAGAATTGGGCACTGAGGGGTCCCTGCGCAATGAGAATTGGGCACTGAGGGGTCTCTGTGTAAGGAGAATTGGGCTCTGAGGGGTCTCTGTGCGATGAGAATTGGGCACTGAGGGCTCCCTGTGTGATGAGAATTGGGCTCTGAGGGGTCTCTGTGCAATGAGAATTGGGCACTGAGGGGTCTCTGTGTGATGAGAATTGGGCACTGAGGGGTCCCTCTGTGACACTGAGGGGTCCCTGTGCAATAAGAATTGGGCACTGAGGGGTCCCCAAAGAGCCAGGGAGCCCTGAGCAGTCCCTGGCACATGGTGGGCAGGGCAGGGAGAGCAGCACTGGAGACCCTGGGGCTGTGTTGGGGTGAGCACTCAGGGAGGTGTTTTGAGACGGATTGAAATTGGTCACAGGGGAATGAGAGCTGCCAAATGAGGCTCTGCACTCAAAGCTGGTCAAAGATAGTCATAAACTTCCCTGTCCTCCACAAACTGGGGAGCCAGGCATCACTGGAATTCGTGGTGGAATTCATGGTGGAATTCGTGTTCACACCTCAGAATGGATTTGCAGGTTCCTAACATCCTCCACCCTCCCTACTCAGGACAAGGGGTAAAAAACATCTGAGGGAGCATTTAAATAGCACCAAAACCTTTTCCCACCACCCCAGGGCACCACTGTGACCAAACACATCCTGCCCCAAGGCACGGTGGCCATCCCAGTGTGGGGACACGGTGACAAACCTCAGCGCCCAGCTGGGACATGGTGACAAACTTCAGTGCCCAGCTGGCACAGGGGGCAGGGACGCTTCATGCCAGCCCATCCTGGGGAGCTGGGGGCACAGGATGTCCCCGTGTCCCTCTGGGCCTGCAGGGACACTAGGTGGCACCGCGAGGAAGGGAAAGGCGCCGCGACATTACCGAGCCACCAGGAAGAGGACGCAGCTGACGGCCAGGTAGGCGAGCAGCATGAAGAGCCAGACGCCCGGAGAAAAAGGGTCCAGGAAGGAGAAATAGCCGGGTCTGCGGCCCTGGAGAGGGAAAAAGCAAAGGAGGAGTTGGAGCTGGGTGGGTTGGGAAAGGTGGGAATGGTTCTGGAAGGGCAAGAGGGAAATTACCGGTGCTGGTGGTGCTGCAGGAGGGACGTGGATAAATGGGGGAAAGGGGATTAGTGGGGAAAAATGGGAGAAATGGGAATAAAAAGGGGAATGGGAAAAATGGGAGAAGTGGGATAAATGGGAGGAGGGGGTAAACAGGAGAAAGGAAATAAACAGGAGAAGGAGAAGAAATGGGAGAAGTGGGGCAAAGGGGATAAATGAGAGAAGGGGGAGAAATGGGAAAAAGGGGGATAAATGGGAGAAATGGGAATAAAAGTGGAATGGGGATAAATGGGAGAAAGAGGAATAAAAAAGAGAAGGGGATAAATGGGAGAAAGCGGAGAAATGGGGCAAAGGGGATAAACAGTATAGAGGGGATAAATGGGAGAAAGGGGGATAAAAAGGGGAAGGGGGTAAATAGCAGAAGGGAAATAAATGGGAGAAAGAGGGCAAAGAGGATAAATGGGAGAGAGGAAATACATGGGAGAAAGAGGAATAAAAAGGAGAAGGGGGATAAATGGAAGAAAGGGGGAGAAATGGAAGAAATGAGGCAAAGGGAATAAATGGGACAAGGGGGAGAAATGGGAGAAGGGGGATAAATGGGAATAAAAAGGGGAATGGGGATAAATGGGAGAAAGGGAAATAAATGGGAGAAGGGGGATAAATGGGAGAAAGGGGGGAAATGGGGCAAAGGGGATAAGCAGGAGAAGGGACATAAATGGGAGAAAGGGAAATAAATGGGAGAAGGGGAGAAATAGAAAAAAATGGGGCAAAGGGTATAAATGGGAGAAATGGGATAAACAGTAGAAGGGGGATAAATGGGAAAGAAGGGGATAAATGGGAGAAAAGGGAATAAAAAGGGGAAGGGAGATAAAAAGGAGAAGGGGGACAAGTGGAAGAAAGGAAATAAATGGGAGAAAGGGATGAATGGAAGAAAGGGGATAAATGGGGCAAAGAGGATAAAAGGGAGAAGGGAAATAAATGGGAGAAAGAGGGGGAAAAAAGGAGAAAGGAAATAAAGGAAAAAAAAAAGGAGAAGGGGAATAAATGGGAGAAAGTGGGATAAACAGAAGAAAGGAAATAAACAGGAGAAGAGGGATAAACCAGGCTTTGGAATGGCCTTGCAGGGCAAACAAGTGACAGCAACCCCACAAATGAGTCCTGCAGCATTTCCCCACTGCATTCATCTCCTAAATCTGTTTTGCTCCCCTTTTTTGTTCTTCCAGGCAAAGAAAGAGGTGAATTGAGAGAAAAATGAGGCAGTCAGAGCATTTTGTCCCTCTTTGGCAGGGTTTGCTGTACCCCCCATCCTTGTCCACACCACACTTAACTGGGCAGAAAGGAATTCACCTGAGCTCACGGGGAAATATATTTGTGAAGCAAAAGGAAAAAAAAAATAAATTTCAAAACTTCTCTCTCTGGCCTTGCAAAGTTTCCTCTTTTACAAAAACCCCAATAAAATTATTACTTTTATCTCAGCGAACAGGATATTTTTATCTCCAGGATGCGTCAGAATTTCCTGTTTTTTTCCTCAGCAAACCACTTTTCCTTAAAAAAAAAATATAAGGCTTCACTGCTAGAAAAAGCAGGTTGATCTTCATTTGAAACTTTCACAAGGATACTGCCACCACCAGAAAATTGTCAAACGCCACCAAATTTGTGCAAAAGAGGGAGAATAATTTTTCTGGGGAAGTTTCTCAAAAAGCCAAACACCTCCCATCTGAGGTGGATTTCTCCTGTCAGCACCAGCTCTGTGGATGCAGATCCTCTGAAAGGAAAGAAAAGCTCAAGCACACCCGAGGGAGATGAAGCCACAGCTCGCAGAAACTTGAATTTTCTGTCCCAAACCACAAATTCACTCCTGGCATCCCTGAAACAGCTCCACAGCTTCCCCAGGCACCTGTAACTGGGAAGCTTCCCACGAGGCAGAGCTTTGCAAAGGTTTTTTTTAATTTTGTTTTTCCTTCCCCAGACTTAGACCAGCATTTTAAATTCCACATCCAAATCTTGCTGTTTTACTACTAAACGTTATGCAAAACCTGATTTTCACAAGGTCCCGGCAGTTCTGCTGGAGACTCGAGCTGTTGCTAGAAAAGGCAACAGTTGTTGCACAAAAAAAATCTCCCCCTGCCAAAAATACCCAGGAACCTGTGAAATCCTCAGCTCCAGGCACCATCTGGGAACCTGCGAGGTGTCAGGAACCTTCCCCAGCAAACCCTGCCTGCAGGAAAAACCCAGCACCACACAACAACCCGTGCCTGCGTCCTCCAGGGCGAGGTTTTGGGATCTGCACTGTCCCAGCGGGGTTGGAACCGAAGGGTTTTTGAGGTCCCTTCCAAGCCAAACCGTTCTGGGATGAGCAATTTTAGAGAGTCTGGCTTGGTGAGGATTTGGGCAAATGGATGGGTTGAGGAGCAGTGGTTCAGCATCCATGCTCAGGGTAATTTTAAATCAATTCCCAAGGAAAAGTTCAGGTTCTCAGATTAAATTTCAGTGAATTCCCAAGGAAAAATTACAGTTCTCAGATTAACTTTTAGTCAATTCCCAAGGAAATGTTCAGGTCCTCAGATTATTTTAAGTCAATTTCCAAGGAAATGTTCAGGTCCTCAGATTATTTTAAGTCAATTCCCAAGGAAAAATTCAGGTTCTCAGATTAATTTTCAGTCAATTCAGGTTCTTAGATTAATTTTCAGTCAATTCCCAAGGAAAAGTTCAGGTTCTCAGGGTAATTTTAAATCAATTCCCAAGGAAAAGTTCAGGTTCTCAGATTAAATTTCAGTGAATTCCCAAGGAAAAATTCAGGTTCTCAGATTAATTTCCAGTCAATTCCCAAGGAAAAATTCAGGTCCTCAGATTAACTTTCAGTCTATTCAGGTCCTCATTTTAATTTCCAGTCAATTCCCAAGGAAAATTCCAGGTTCTCCTGGGTTTAATTCCAGAGTCTGTCTTCAAGGCAATGCCTCTCTTCTGTTCCAGGTTATCTCCTATCCGCAGGTGAGGCTCTGAAAACCAGAACATGGCAGCAACTGACCAAAAGACTGGGAAAGGACACAGAGAATGTGGTGTCTTCCTCTGTTTGTGCCTCACCTGTGGACAGGAGATAACCTGGAACAGAAGACTTTGCCTTGAAGAGAAACTCTGGGATTAAACCCAGGAGAACCTGGAATTTTCCTTGGGAATTGACTGAAAATTCATCTGATGGCCTGAATTGACTGGAAGTTAATCTGAGGACCTGAATTTTTCCCTCCAAATTGACTTAATCTGAGAACCTGAACTTTTCCTTGGGAGTTGACTTCAAGTCAATCTGAGAACCTGCCCACCTGCCCAAGGGTGGCACTGCCAGAGCTCTCCCCTTTGCTTAGCCCAACTTGTCCTAAACTCCCATAAATCCTCTTTTATTTGCATCCTCCATTGTTTCACCTTCTCCCTGAAGCTCAGGAGAGGCCAGATCTCCCCCAAATTCCAGCTGCTCCCTCTGGCTCTCCTGGGTGCCCCTCAAACTTTGTTTCCCCTTTTCCTCAGCAGCACAACCAGCTCAGGAACTCCTTATTCCTCCTCAAGGATGAAATGAGGCCCTGGGGAGCCAGCAAGATGTGCAGGGCACAGGCTGCAGCTCCTGAGCTCATCATTCCAGGGACTGACCCTTCCTGGCACCCAGAGCTGGCACAGCCTCTCTGTGAGATCCTGCCATGACAAAATCCCTTTCTGCAATTAAAGCCTTGATATCTTCTTTATATTTCTGGGGCAGTTTGTCTATAAATTACTCTCATTAAGGAAATTACGTTGGAAGCTTTAAATCTCCAGCTTGGCAATGAATCTCTCCTGTGCATCGCCCCTCAAACTTTGGTTCCCCCTTTTCCTCAGCAGCACAACCAGCTCAGGAACTCCTTATTCCTCCTCAAGGATGAAATGAGGCCCTGGGGAGCCAGCAAGGTGTGCAGGGCACAGGCTGCAGCTCCTGAGCTCATCATTCCAGGCAGGGCAGGGATTGACCCTCCCTGGCACCCCAGAGCTGGCAGGGAGCTCACATGAGAATCTCTCATGAAAAAATCCCTTTCTTCAATTAAAGCCTTGATATCTTCTTTATATTTCTGGGGCAGTTTGTCAATAAATTACTCTCATTAAGGAAATTGCGTTGGAAGCTTTAAATCTCCAGCTTTTTGGCAGTGAATCTCTCCTGTGACTTTACAGTTGTAGTAGTTCTGGTTCTTTTCAGCTCCAGTCATTTCCAGGCTGCTGGGACATATTCTTTTCATTCACAGTTGTGGGTAAGAATAAAGATATTCTGTTCCCACGGAGGGCACAAACTCTCTCTTATCTGTTTTGAAGATGGGAATGACAATATCTGGAGTCTGTCAGATATTTTTAGGCAGTCCCAATAGAGCTTTGTTAATTGGAAGAGCTATTTTTCCTGGAATAGATATGTTCAAAATGTCCAATAATTGATGAAGGTCTCAGATGGATGTGGGAGAGATTAATTTACCCTCCTCCTAAGTTGTTCTTAGAAATCTTCGTTTTTTCAGCCAGTGAGCAGCAGTTTGCTGGGAAGATGTTGGTGACAGGAGATCTTGGACAAGGGGGACATTTGGGAAGGAGAGGACAGCCCTGGATTTGTTGTTTTCAGCACTCCCTGCCCTGAACACGCAGAATCTGGAGAAACCACAATCAGCCCCATTAATGCCATTTTTCACCTGTGTTTTCCCTAAAAAAGGAGGGCAGAGAACTCTGTCCTGCATCTGGAAGTCAGAGGGAAGCAAAAAAACTCAGCCTGGGGAGGCAGAAATGCTGATGTGGGCTTGGTCCAACTGCAGAGCACTGAATGATGGGAACATCCCAGATATCCACACCTGGGCACATCCCAGATATCCACACCTGATCCATCGCAGGATATCCACACCTGCTCCAGGGCACATCCCAGGATATCCACACCATCTCCAGGGGCACTGAACCAGGATATCCTGGGATGTGCCCAGGTTTGGTGCCCTGCGGCTGGACCAAGCACACATCAACATTTCTGCCTCCCCAGAGTGAGCTTTTTGCTTTCCCTTTTCCTGCTCCAAGGGCACATCCAGATCCTTCCTTTCCCTCTGGGCTCAGTAAAATCCCTGCACAGGCTGCTCTGAATCCCGACTCTCATTTGGAGCCCCCACATGGCTCACAATGACCAAATGCATTCCTGGGGGCAGCAGGATCCTTGCTGGCAGAGCTCTCAGGAGGGGACTCAGCCTCTCTCAAGGCTCCTCTGGCTGGAATGATGGAGTTTTTCCATCCATCCTTCCCATCTTGTGTCCTCTGCAGCAATCAGGTCGAAACACTTCAAGCCCCAGCTCACTTGGCTGTGCACTCTCCCAGCCTCCATTTCCTCATTTTGAAGGCAAAGAACTTTCAGGGCTGAGCAGCCAGAATCACCTCCAGTCCCTCATTCCCTGCCACAGAGGCAGGATGTGAGGAAAGATGGATAAATTCTGATTTATCCCTCCCGGCAGAAACGACCCTGGGCAGTGATTCCAGCCCCTGCCAAACCCAGGGACTGCTCAGAGCTCCCCATCCACCTCCTGCCATCCCCACATCCCCCAGACTGGGCAGAATGGGCAGCAAATAAAACCAACCAAGCCTTTTTGCTCTCTGAGGAAGCCTGTTAGAGCTGCTGTGTCAGAAATCCAGCCTTGATTGTATCACAAGCAGTGAAATTGAGAAAAATGACAGCCCTGGTTAAAGCTGCCATATTTGGTTATGTGTGATAAGAGGCACAGGCTCTGTGGTGGCTGGGTTGGCGGCGTGGGGAGGAGAAAGGGCTGAGAAATCACTTGCCACTGGAGCTACATGGAAATGAAAACAAAATGTCATCACATTTGAAGGAGCCCGGGGTGTGCAGAGAGCTCCTCAGCGAGGAAGAGGCTCATTTGTGGTTATTTATTAGGCTCCATCTCATCCCAGCAGTGATTAGCAAACGTCAGCTGCAATTTTTGACATTGCAGAGGTGGATTTTGCGGTGGGGAGGGGAAGGCTGAGGGGCTGCTCTGCAAACCACATCCTTAAAGGAAAACCAGAAGTGTTTTCCCCATTTTTCCTTCCCTTCACCCATTTCTCCTTCCCTTTCCCCATTTTCCCCTCCCTTTCCCCATTTCTCCTTTCCTTTCCCCATTTTCCCCTCCCTTTCCCCATTTTCCCCCTTCTTTTCTCAGGTGGGAGAAGGCACCAAGAGAGCAAAGATGGGACCAGGAATGGCCCCGACACCATCAAGGAGCACCCACAGATATCCCAGCTCAGCCTCCCAGCCAGTTTTATCACTAAATCCAACTGGAAGGTGACTCCAAGCCAAGTTTCTGCAATTCCAGCCCCACTTCTTCATCTCTCCAGCCAAACCTGCCCTCAGCACACCTCACCCAGTGGCCTTAAAGCCACTTAAATCCACCTAAAACCACTCTAAAACCATCCTGAACCCCCCACCATGCCAAAAAACCCCATCATGTGCCCTGGGAGGAGTGGGGAGAGAAGCCAAAGGGCTGGGGGTTGAATAGGAATGGAATTCCCCAATCCTGACATGCAGCAGAGAGACAGAGAAAAGCAGGAAATAAAGGTCGAGCACATTTGCGCTTAAATAAGAAACCCAAATATTTTTTATGAGTCGTTCATTATCCTCCCCTAAGCAGGCAAATAATGGAGGGACATAAATGGCACTGAAATCAGGCTCTTACCATGTGAACCCTGTAGAGAATGCTGATGCCCAGAGTCATGAAGGGCTTGGAGAAATCGATCACCTTCTCGCGCTCCGCCGTGATCGTCAGCCCCGCCACGGCCAGGTCGGCTTTCTGGGCAGGAGGGACACAGGGAGAGGGTCAGAATGCTGGGAAAGAGCAAACCTGCGGCCAACACAGCACCCCCAGGCCTGCAGGGGAGGTGTCCCACCTTTATGGGACAGCAGGAGCTCCCCACACCTGCCTGGCTGGGTTCCACACAGCCCCGCTCAAACTCACCCCAAAGTTTAGCCCGCCCTGTGGTCTGGAGCAGTCGCCCCATTTTGCCTTCCTTTTCTTCATTTTCCCCTCCCTTTCCCCACTTTATCTTTCCTTTCTCCATTTTGCCTTCCCTTTCCTCCATTTTTCCCTTCCTTTCCCCATTTTCGCCTCCCTTGTCCCATTTTTCTCTCCTTTTCTCCATTTCTCCTTCCTTTTCCCCATTTTTCCCTCTCTTTCCCCATTTTGCCTTCCCTTTCCCCTTTTTCCTTCCCTTTCTCTATTTTCCTTCCCTTTCTTAATTTTTCCTTTCCTTTCCCCATTTTTCCCTTCCTTTCCCCACTTTACCTTTCCTTTCTCCATTTTCCTTCCTTTTCTCTATTTCTCATTCCCTTTCCCCATTTCGCCTTCCCTTTCCCTATTTTTCCTTCCCTTCCAGTCTGGAGCAGCTCCTTCCCCCAAGTGCTCACAGTCCAATTGCCATTTTTATTCATTCAACGCATTAAAACCTGGAGCCATAAACCAATAAATATGATATTAATCCATAGAAAACCAATAAATATTATATTAATCCATAGAAAACCAATAAATATGATATTAATCCATAGAAAATACAATCTCCCCCTTCCCTGCTGAACACAGCTGCCTCTTCTGGTACAAGCAGGAAGGGGACAAAGCAGGATCCTCACCCCTGTGCCATGGAGTTCACAAACCTGCCAAACCCTGACCTCCAGAACTGCAGATCAGTCTCCAAATTAAAAAGAAATAAAAAAAAATTCAGAGGACTGGCATGAAAGTTTGCAGATTGACCTGCAAAGCAAATGAGATTAGTGGGGAGAAAAAAAATAAAAATAACTTCTTCTCATGTTAATACCCTTGTAATATAGATAAGGGATTTGAATTTTAAATATTATTTTTATTACTTTAGCTCTTTTAATGTCTGTAATTGCTTTCCGTAAAAATGAAACCTCCACTCCCTTATCCATTTGTTTCTCTGCTTTGCAGGAAGATGATTATGCATGTGGAAAAAAGAGATGATGGGGGAGAAAGAAAAAGCTCTTTGCACTTTTTGTCCCTAAATTTCAAAAGGTCTGTGCAGATGCCAAGGCACCATGGGCCTGATGGAGGTGCTGGGAAAGGCTGCGAAAGGGAAGGGCAGGAGAGGGAAAAGAAGGGAAAGGGAAAGGAACAAGGGAAAGGAACAAGGAAAGGAAAAAGGAAAGGAAAAAGGAAAGGAAAGGAAAGGAAAGGAAAGGAAAGGAAAGGAAAGGAAAGGAAAGGAAAGGAAAGGAAAGGAAAGGAAAGGAAAGGAAAGGAAAGGAAAGGAAAGGAAAGGAACCAGGAAAGGAAAGGAACCAGGAGAGGGAAAAGAAAGGGAATGTGACCCACAAGCCCAGAAAGGGGTCACAGAGAAGGTGGCACCTCCCAGGCCATGCAGAGCTGCCTGGACATGCTCAGTGGACATTTTGGAATTGTTTCCAAGCAGCTCATACAGATTCCTGAGAGGTTCAGGCTGCACTGAATTAGGAGCTGAGCAGAATTTCTGCACAGGCAGACATTTACCCACAGGCTGTTTAAAAGGCACCAATAATCCCAGCGTGGTGTGTGAGCAGTTGAGCCCTGTGTAAACACCAGCAGATCACTGAAACGGGATCAGTTCATCTCTGGAACGTGGCATGTGGAGGATTTTATCTATGAGGAAAGCCTAAAGCCTCCTAAACCCCTCTTGTCTCCACTTAAAGGGTTTGTGGGTGCCATTGTCCTATTTCCTAAACCAATTTAAAGGTTTCTAAGTGTCATTGTCACATTTCCTAAACCACTCAAAAGGTTTGTAGGGGTCATTGTCCCATTTCCTAAACCCCTCTTCTCTACTTAAAGGCTTGTAGCTGCCATTGTCCATTTCCTAAACCACCTAAAGGGTTTGTAGGTGTCATTATCCCATTTCCTAAACCTCTCCTGTCTCCAATTAAAAGGCTTGTAGGGGCCATTGTCCCATTTCCTAAACCCCTCCTGTCTCTACTTAAAGGGTTGTAGGTGCCATTGTCCCATTTCCTAAACCCCTCCTGTCTCTACTTAAAGGGTTGTAGGTGCCATTGTCCCATTTCCTAAACCCCTCCTGTCTCTACTTAAAGGGTTGTAGGTGCCATTGCCCTCCCAGCAAAGCCCCTGCTGAAGGCACAGCTCAGTCTGACATAGAATTCTCCTCCCAGTTCTCCAAATTAAACCCAGTCCCACCAGCAAAGCCACTGACTGAAGCAGAAGGTAAACCTGCCATGGCAAAAGGGGTTCATGCCAAAGCTTGCAGGAAATTTTCATTCCTATCCAGGGGTAAATATAAAGGTGCTGTTGAAGGAGCAGCAGCATCCCCAGGTTTGGGGTCCTGACCATTCTCTGGGGAGAAACAACACCTTGGTGTTGCTGGATCCTCATCAGCAACCTGAACTGCTCTTCCCTACACAAAATCAGTGCAAATCCATCCCTGCCCTCTGTCCTCAGAGCAGAGACACAGCACAGCCTTTCCCAGCACTCAGACTCCCCTCTCTCATCTCCAGGGGGTTCTGCCATTCCCTCACAGTTATTCCCTCTGCTCATTCCCTGCTCACTTTTCAGAGGGGCAGAACTTTCTGCAGCAGAGCTCCAGCTCCTCATCATTCCCCCTCTCTCTTCTCTCTGCAGGCTCAGTCATGCAAGTTAAGAGCTGATCTCTGATAGCAGCAAACTTTGATCTGGGAATGGCATGCAAAGAATTCTCTGCCTGAATTTCATCCATTTCATGCTCTCAGCTCTGCTCCCTGACAAAACTTCTTGTGATTCACCGAGCTCGGTGGAGCTACAGAGGAGCTCTGCAAAGCTGAGTTCCCTCCGGCCTCCCCAGCTGAGCACAGGCAGGTGTTGGGGTTTTATGGGAAATGGATTTTGCTTTGTGCCCCTGCTCTCTATCCAGGTCTGGGCTCTGGGGAGATGTCAGGACCCAGGACATCCCTCTGGCTGTCCTGAGCAGCCCAGACCCTGCCAGGGGGCTCAGAGACCCTGGCACAGAGCCCAAAATGCCCCTGTGGGTTTGGTTATGACCCGTGGAGCAAATTACCAACCTTAGATGAAGATCTACTAGCCACAACAGTTTAGGTAGAATATTAGTGAAGTTATCATGGGGTGGAAAAGTAGATTTTGGGGTTTCTGGTATGGCAAGATGGAGGGAACTGGGTGTGTCCAGCCTTTCTCCTTCTTCTCCTTTTTGGCCTCCATCTTCTGCTGTGATGGTGGCACTTTGGGAATGGTTTAGAGTAGAAGCTCACTGTCTAACATAGGTGATAGGTGTTGGGAAGTAATTGTAAATATTGTACACGTAGTTTTTAGTATAAAGACATAACACCACCCTGGGGCAGGCAGAGTGCCTTGGACTGTCTTGCTGAGCTGACCTTGTCAGGGCAGGAGAAAATTTTTTAAAGATAAGATACAATAAACAACCTTGAGACTGAGAAATTAAGAGCCCTGACTCCTTCTTCAAGTCCTGGGCTGGGAAAAGAGACTTTGGATCTTTTCTCAGAGTCACTGTGAGCAGCGAGAGATCCCAACAGGGAGAGGAAAAAACAGGAGGGAAAGGATGGATGGGGGGGAAGAGGGGCTGGTTTTCATCCTGCCAGCACGCTTACAGCTATAAATGTTGGCATGAAATAGGCTTAGAAAAAGACCCAGAGCTTTTTGGGAGTGGAGACAAAAAGCAACAGCACTTCTCTCAACAACACACGCCCAAGCAAGGCCAGAGCCTCGCTGGGCGAGAGCAAACCCAGGTGGGCTGGCGCGCCAGACAAAAGCTGCCCCAGCACCGCCCTACCTGGCATCCCCGTGGGCTCTGCCTGCATCAGGGCTCTGCAGAGGACACCAAACACGGGGGCTGAGCCGGGCTCCTGAGGAGGAACAACAATGAAGCATCCTCCAGGAGCGAATTGCAGGGACTGCCAGTCCAGCCGCCCCCTCGCCGCGGCTCTGCCAGGGCTCAGCTCGGAGCTGGCGGGGATGAGCGGGCCCTGACGTCAGCCCCAGCCCCAAGAGAGCCCAGAGAGGCCTCCCACGGCATGGGATGGCAGGAAGCAGCTGGGAAAAGAGCCCAGATGAGGCCCCACAGAGACCCCAACCCTGTGCCAGGCTGTGGGGACACTGCAGAGAGTGAGGCTCGGGCATGGGGATGTGTCAAACCCCAGGACAGCTCTGGGAGCTCAGGGCTGATGTAGCCACGATATTTTCTGAAAAATCCTTTCTTTAGGATTTTTCCTTCTGAGAAGCTGGGAAGCCTCAGGAACAAAATGCAAACAATGGTTATCTGTTGCTGTGGAATGCAACAGGTGCATCTGGGATTGGTCTCATGTGGTTGTTTCTAATTAATGGCCAATCACAGTCAGCTGGCTCAGACTCTCTGAGCCACAAGCCTTTGTTATCATTCTTTCTTTTTCTATTCTTAGCTAGCCTTCTGAGGAAATCCTTTCTTCTATTCTTTTAGTATAGTTTTAATATAATATATATCATAAAATAATAAATCAGCCTTCTCAAACATGGAGTCAACATTCTCGTCTCTTCCCTCATCCTGGGACTGAAGGGAAAGCAGTGCCTGGCTACCAGCAAGGAAAACCAGCACCCCAAAGCTTTAAGGGCTTCCCTGTTCTTGGTATTGCTGCTCGTGAGGCTGGGCAGGATGCACAACTTCTTGTCCCTCACTTTAAAAAGATCTTTGATCCCCACTGATCCTGGCCAGATTCAAGCCAGGCATGGTGGGACAGGGCTGAGGCTGTGAAAATGCATCCCTTGCTTTGTGTCAGCCAGGGAATTCATTTCAGCTCGAGGATGTGCCGGGGAGAGAGAGAGAGAAGGGGAAGAACAGACAGCACCAGGGACTCTGAGCCAGAGCTGCACTGCAGCAGCCAGGAGCAGGATGTAATTCTTGCAGCCCAAATGCCCTTTAAGTCTCTGATGCCAAAGAGGAGGAGATGAGAAGATTTGCTGCTTTCCCTTGTTTGTTTGTCTGTGCCAGAGGCAGCAAGGCTGACAGGCAGAGTGGCTTCAGTGCCCTGCTCACTCCAGGAATGAGCTGGGTGCTCAATCTCCCTGCCCTGCCTGCTCAGAGGGACAAATTAGCCCAGGATTTTCTGTATTTGTGACATCTCTCACTGCAGGATGGGCTTGGGGAACTTCTCATCAGGAGCTGGAGTGACAGGACAAGAGGGCTTTGAACCGAAAGAGATTTTGGGAAGGAATTCTTGATGAGGGGCTGGGATGGAATTCCCAGAGGAGCTGAGGCTGTGACATCCCTAGAGATGTCCAAGGCTGGATAAGGCTTGGAGCAACCTGGGGTAGTAGAAGGAGTAAAGGGGGTTGAAACTAAACCACCATTCTGTGATTCTGAGCCCTTCCAGGTGATTTCTCCCAAACCATGAGCTGATCACAAGCTGTGCAGGATTCCCAAGCCATCCCTGTCCCCTCTTCCTCACCCCCCAACCTGTTTTGTGAGCTGATCACTGTCACAGATTATCTTTTATGGAAAATCCTTTCCTTAGAATTTTTCCTCCTGAGAAGCTGAGAGCCTCAGGAACAAAATGTAACCAATGGTTATCTGCTGCTGTGGAATGCAACAGGTGCATCTGTGATTGGTCTCATGTGGTTGTTTCTAATTAATGGCCAATCACAGTCAGCTGGCTCAGACAGAGAGCCAAGCCACAAACCTTTGTGATCATTCTTTCTTTTTCTATTCTTAGCTAGCCTTCTGATGAAATCCTTTCTTCTATTCTTTTAGTATAGTTTTAATGTAATATATATCATAAAATAATAAATCAGCCTTCTGAAACATGGAGCCAGATCCTCGTCTCTCCCCTCATCCTCAAACCCCTGTGAACATGGTCACAGATCACAAATTGTGCAGGATTCCCAAGCCATCCCATCCTCTCTTCCTCACCTCCCAACCTGTTTTATTGACCTGCTCACAAGATTTGTTCTGGTGAATTTGAGTCAACAACAGATTCATGTTTGTCCAGCATCCTGCTCAGTCATATCAGGGTGCACAATTAGCTGTGATGGAATTCCCAGGGCTTAAGAATAAATCAATAGCTGCTTAATTCAGAAGCAATAAAATGAAACATTTTCCCCTCAATAGCCCAGAGCTGCTCTGAGGAGATTCCGTGCCACAGAGGGATTACAGGGGAGGCTGGATAATTCTGTGACCTTTTGGTCCTGCACATTAAGTGAGTGTGAGTCAAACCTTATTTTCTGATGCCTGATCAGGATCAAGGCGAAATTATTTTCCTACAATGACACTGTGCTGGACAGAGGCAGAGCTTTCATTTTTGGGAAGGACTGAGGACTTTTGTGAGAGGTTTGTGCCCCAGCTGATCCCCTTTTTGTCCTAAAGGAGCAGAATAAAATTATAAATATATATATATATAAAATTAAATAGAATATAAATATATAAATATTTATATAATATTCTATGCAATATATGATATATAATAATTAAATATAAAACCATATAATAAAAATATAAATATATAAATATAAATTTATAATTTATATAATATATAAATCCACTGAAAGAGGAATAATGGGCACCCAACACAGGATCTGCTGGATGCCATGGGACAGGGGTGAACAAGGATGAACTTCCTTGGGAACTGACTGTCAAGGATGGACAGAAGCCCCTTGGGCAGTGAAATGTCCTCAAAAAACAACATCCCAGGCAGCCCTGAATAAATTGATTAAAAACTTGCTGAAACCATCATAAAAACTCTCAGGGATATAGGGAGAACAAGAGACAAAGCTGTTTCTCTTCCCCAATTTGTGATCCAGCCTCACAGGTTCTGACAGCTCTGCCCTGCAGAAGTAAAAAACTTTCTTAAATAAACCCTGCTCAAGCTGCAGAAGAAACGAACGGTTTCTGTGTGAAGATAAAGCTAAAATACTCATCACTGGAGAAAAACAATCTTCCAGAAGGTCCCACTTAATGAAGAGGCACTGCCAGGGTTAGGAGGCCAAAAGTTTGATGGCCGTTCCTTTCTTTTGAGCTCTCAGCTCCCTCCCTTTCCCCAAAGGAATGTTGCAGGAGTGTAATTGTGTGTGTACACACACACACAGACACAAAAATGGATAAAAACGGTGCCAATAGCCTGGAGCATTTGCAAACAGCCTCACAGAAGCTCTTGGAGAGGAGCAGATGGAGGTGGGATCTCAGCTGGCACCGAGAGTGACTGCTCAGGGATGGGTGACCCCAGAGACTGGGGGGGCTCAGGGGAGTCTCCAGGCTGTTCAGTGCCCTGTCTGTGACCCTCAGAACACACAAAATCCCTCCCTCTTGCAGACAAAGAGCTGTCCCAGCTGACTGCAAACGCTCAGCTAAAACTCCTGAAGTGGGATAAGCATCATCCTGCATCGTGTGGAGAAGAAGCAGGAGGTGCCAGTGGGCATTTCTAGGGATCCTGGACCCTTAAAGATCACAGAACCATGGAAAAGACCTCCAAAACCCTCAAACTTCCATCCCAATCTTCAATCCTTCCATCCTCAACTTCAATCCCCAGCTTCCAACCAAATTCCACTGTGCCCAGTAAACCACAGAGTGAAGTGATGCTCATTTTCCAGGGAGGAAAGATCTGCAAAATGAGCATCACTTGGAAGATCTGGAAAATAATGGTCCAGCTGTGTCGAGGCTCTAAGCAGTCACAGGTTTTTATTACTCATTCTTTACCAGCCTTCTGATGTCTCCTTTCTCTTTCTTTAATATAGTTTTAGTGTAGCATTTTTAATATAATATATATCATAAAATAATAAATCAGATGGAGTCAAGATTCTCATCTTTTCTCCTCATCCTGTGGACCCTCAAACACCACCACAATTATTGCTTTCATTTTTCCCTGAGGCTTTTCAGCTTCCCAGGGGAAGAAAAAACATCCCAGGGGATGGATTTTTTTTTTCCTCTGAGGCTTCTCAGCTTCCCAGGAGAAAAATCCAGGGATGTGGAAATCCGGGTGTCTTTCTTTTAGTATAAGTTTTCATGTAGCATTTTAAATATAATATAGATCATAAAATAACAAATCAGCCTTCTGAAACACTGAGTCAAGATTCTCATCTTTTCCCTTTTCCTGGGGACCCACAAACACTGCCACAATTATTGCTTTCATTTTTCCCAGGAGAAAAAGCCAGGGATGGATTTTTTTTTTTTTTTTTTTAGGTTTCTCAGCTTCCCAGGAGAAAAATCCAAGGATATGGAAATCCAGGGATCCATGTTGTGAATGCCACACAAATGACACAAATGCTCTGCTCCAACCCCCCAAAATGGACTAAAACCCAACCCATCCTCATCACCACGAAACACGAAGGCTTTGCAGCGCCAAAGCCCATCAGAGCAGAGTTTAACAGAGCAGCAAATCCACTCACCCTGGCTATGAGCTCCCCAACCATCCCTGTCCAGATTCCATTGGCCTTGGGGACGCCATAGATGCTGTCCCCCACCAGGTGGATTTTGTGGTTGAAGCACAGGAAAAACCCAACCCATCTTCATCCCCAAGAAGCACGAAGGCTTTACAACACCAAAGCTCATCAGAGCACAGTTTAACAGAGCAGCAAATCCACTCACCCTGGCTATGAGCTCCCCAACCATCCCTGTCCAGGTGCCGTTGGCCTCGGGGACGCCGTAGACGCCGTCGCCCACCAGGTGGATTTTGTAGTTGAAGCGCAGGATCTCGGCCAGCTCCTTCAGCATGTCCACACAGAAACCCTCGTAGCGGTCATTGCCTTCCAGCTCCTGGTGGTTCCACTTCAGCATTAAGTAAGGGTTTTCCTGCAGTGAAACTGGGCAGCTGTCATTCCCATCTTAGCCGAGGCGTCCCGCCAGCACCGAGCAGGGAGGGCAGAGCTCACGGGGTGGGGTTGGGAGAAACCTTAGAAAATGGCTGGTTCTGACCCCAAAGATGAGAAAATGTCTAGTTCTAACCCTAAATATTATAAAATGTCTAGTTCTAACCCCCAAATATTAGAAAATGTCTAGTTCGAACCCCCAAATATTAGAAAATGTCTAGTTCGAACCCCAAACCATAGATAGTGTCTAGTTCTAACCCCAAACATTAGAAAACGTCTGGTTCTAACCCCAAATATTAGAAAACATTTAGCTCTAACCCCAAATATTAGAAAATGTCTGGTTCTAACTCCAAACATTAGAAAACATCCAGTTCTAACCCTAAACTTTTAGAAAACATTTAGTTCTAACCCCAAAGCTTAGAAACTGTCTAGTTCTAACCTCAAACCTTAGGAAATGTTTAGTTCTAACCCCAAATATTAGAAAATGTCTGGTTCTAACCCTAAATATTAGAAAAGGTTTAGTTCCAACCCCAAACATTAGAAAACATCTAGTTCTAACCCCAAATATTAGAAAACATCCAGTTCTAACCCTAAACATTAGAAAACATCCAGTTCTAACCCCAAACATTAGAAAATGTCTAGTTCTAACCCCAAAGTTTAGGAAACGTCTAGTTCTAACCCCAAACCTTAGAAAACATCCAGTTCTAACCCCAAGAAGCACATCCCAGCACAATGGATCCCTCTCAAACTGGATGAGGAAAGCTTGGGAGCTCAGGTGCTGCTGAGCTCTCAGATCTGTCTCCACACTGGTGCTCCCTGGTCCCTCCCATGTGGAGGTGCAGATTTATGCTGGTTCAGGACATGAAGCAGGGCTGAGGGATGTTGATTTTGGGGCTGTTTTCAGCTGGGAAGAGCAAGAGCAGCCCAGTGAGTCATGGCAGGGCATCCAGACTTCAATCTGTCCTGGCACAGAGCCATTTCTCCAGCCTGTCCCCTTTCCAACAAACCTTGTGAAGGGACAGGCAGGAGTTTGGGTGTCTTCAAAAAAGGAGCAAAAAAATCATTGGATAGGCAGTGGTGCCTGTACATGCCAGGTTTTCATAAAAATCTTGCCCATCGTGGCCACTTTTTATAATTTTTATAAAATATGGGCAATATTTTTATATTTTGTGGGTAGAAGGGGCCACTGTCCCTTCCAACTCAGCAGCTGTGCACCAGACAAGGTCCCCATTCTGAGCTGGGTGCAAACTGGCAGCCTGTCCCCATCCCAGCCCCCTCTGAACCCATCAAATATGAACCCTCTGAACCCACCCAATGCCATTTCCATATGCAGCATCGACCTGAGCTGAATTCCACAGGCAGGAATTGTACCCCAGGTTGTAACAGGAGACTTGCAGTGTGAAATCAGCCCAGGGCAGGGCTGAGGAGCAGGGAGCAGGATTCAGCTGAGCCCAGCCCTGAGTGTCACAGACATTTTTTAAGAAAAATAATTTCTTTAGGATTTTTCCTCCTGAGAAGCTGAAAGGCCTCAGGAACAAAATGTAACCAATGGTTATCTGCTGCTGTGGAATGCAACAGGTGCATCTGTGATTGGTCTCATGTGGTTGTTTCTAATTAATGGCCAATCACAGTGAGCTGGCTCAGACAGAGAGCCCGAGCCACAAACCTTTGTTATCATTCCTTCCTTTCTATTCTTAGCTAGGCTTCTGAGGAAATCCTTTCTTCTATTCTTTTAGTATAGTTTTAATGTAATATATATCATAAAATAATAAATCAGCTTTCTGAAACATGGAGTCAGATCCTCGTCTCTCCCCTCATCCTCAGACCCCTGTGGACATGGTCACACCTGAGGGCTGGGCCCATGGGGGGACTGCAGGTGCCCCCCTCCCTTACCAGGATGGTGGTGACAATCAGGGTGGTGTTGAAGAGGCTGTCGGAAATGTTGGAGGAGAAGATCCTGTTGTCCATGGTGAGCCCTTCAGAGACATGCCAGTGGCCAATCTGCAGAGACAAACAGCACAATAAGGGGATTTATAGGGCGAGGCACTGCCCATATGGCTCTGCTGACTGACAACAGCCCTGCAGCTGGCCTGGTTAGGGATGCTCCATTAGCTTCACAACCCCAGAATGGGTCAGCAGACAGATTAACCCTCTGTGCACACAGGGCCACCACCCTGGCCCTGTGCTGCTTTCCCTCCTGTCCGCCCTGCAGAGCTGGGCAGCCTTGTGTATTGTCCCCAGATGCCACCAAATGGGTCCATTTTAGCCAGAAATCCCCAATTTGTGAGCTTGTCCCCCCCAAGCTGGGAGCCCTCCTGGGTGGGACAAAGCCACCTTCTCAGTGGTGCTGCTCCACGACTCCTGTACCACAATCAAGCACTTCAAAATCCTTTCATTCGGGCTCATCACACCCAAATTTACCCATCCAAGCATCGGTGTGGCTGCAGCAAACCCAAATTCCCAGCGTGGATGGCAGAACCAGGTCCCCAGGCTCAGGAGGACATCGTGACTCAGCTGTGACACAGCTGCTTCATCCAGGGGAGGGGAGGAATATTCCACAAAACCTAATTTTAACTTCAAGAGCCTAATCTCCTTCCCTCAGAGCCCTGGGCAGGGACATCAGCACCTCCAGCAGCTCGTTCAGAACGTGCAAATTAAACTCCTGCTCTCTCATCGTCCTTAAAGGAGCTTCTGCTTTTCCTCCTCTGCTTTTCCTTGTGGATACAGGGCAGGGATGAGGAGGGCAGCTCCCTCTGAACCCCTGTCGCAGACTTCTTTCATGGAAAATCCTTTCCTTTGGATTTTTCCTCCTGAGAAGTTGCGAGGCCTCAGAAACAAAATGTAAACAATGGTTATCTGCTGCTGTGGAATGCAACAGGTGCATCTGGGATTGGTCTCGTGTGGTTGTTTCTAATTAATGGCCAATCACAGCCAGCTGGCTCGGACAGAGAGCCGAGCCACAAACCTTTGTTATCATTCTTTCCTATTCTATTCTTAGCCGGCCTTCTGATGAAATCCTTTCTTCTATTCTTTTAGTATAGTTTAATATAATATATATCATAAAATAATAAATCAAGCCTTACCCCAGCAATCCCTCCTGTGCCTGAGAGCATTGTCCAAACTTCCTGGAGCTCTGGCAGCTCTGTCTGTGACCATTCCTAGTGCAGGAACAACAGCCCCAAATTTGAAGATCTCCCACCCATTTCCCTTGGAGCACAGCTTCAAGTGTCCTGCACAGGCTCTGAGTCCAGGCAGGATGAATCCCTGCTCAATTCACCTCTGCTCTGATTGCTGAGCAGCAGCCCCTCTGCAGAGAGCCATCCCTCACAAACATTGCCTCATCCTTCTTCCCTCCTGATTTCTCAACCACAGATTAGTGACAGATTAACTTTAATTTTAACAGCCCTCGCTGTTCTCCAATTTGTCCCTCCCCTGCTGGCATGTGCTGAGACTAATTGCCTCTTCTCCTGACAGAGCTGTGGCTTTGACCTTGCTTTTAAAGGCACCAAGGCCACAAATCTCACATTTTGGGGCACTTTTCCCCATCCTGGCTGGCCCCAGCTCACCCCAGTGCCCTTCAGGGGCTCACAAAGCTCCTCCTGCTGCTGTTCCTGCAGTGCCAGGGCCCCTCACGTCCCTCTCCTGCAAGATGGATGTCAAGGTGATTTTAATCATCTCTATCTACATATAAAGAGCCTCTGGAAAATAGAAAACATATCCATCTGCTAAGATTTTTAGAAAACAATCAAATCCTCCTGATGGACAACAACATCCTGTTGTTCTGGCTCCGGACAAGGACTTGAGGGGCTTTAGGACTCAGGGGTTTTAGGACTCTGGGTTTTAAAGAAGAGGATGTGATTGGTGATTTATAAATACTGCAGGTGGAGGAGGTCTGTAGCAAAGAGGTAGAACAGCTTTTTGAAGCTGAAATGATGGTGTTGGCACAAAAATAAATACATACAAAGCAGCCAGAAATAAACAGGCTGACAGAGCAGGGGAGGGCTTCCTAATGATCACAGGAATTGGAGGGATCCCTGTCCTAGCAGAGCAATGAGGGCAGCACAACCAAGTGGAGATCAACACCTTTGAGAGAGGGATTAGGTGGAGAAAGTCCCCTCCATGTCCTCAGGGATGTGAGACCCCCAGGGCATCACCTCTGCACCTCCCAGCACCCCAAGGAGATCCAGCCCTGCCCCAAACACCCACAGGCACCTCGAGGCAAACACAAACTGTGAAATTCAGGGTGTGAAACAGCCCAGAAAGCCTCAGCCTGGGAGGAGCAGGGAAGTGCCACTGCTCCATCCCCAAAGGCAGCTGAGTGCCCCAGTTTAGCTGCTCCAGAGGTGTTATTTGGGTTGGTGGCACAGGAAGACTTCTCATTTCTGTAGAAAATCTCCAGGTGGAGCATCCCTGGCTCTCTCCTTCCACCCTGTGAGCAGAGGCTTTGAGGCTCCTCGTGGTGTGAGGTGATGAAACACCTCTCAAAGCAGTGATTTTAATGAAATCTGCTTATTTTTCTATAGGCACAAAGCAAGACTTCTCCACGAGCTTCAGAGGTATTTACCATCCCCACTCCCAGCTTCAAATTAAGGCAGAGCCAGCCCTGAATGCAGATCTTGGAGCAGCACCAGGGACCTTGTGGGCTCTGATTACGAGTGGTGTCCTACAGCTTGCAGCCACCAAATCCTCCCTCAGTGTCCCCAGGAACAGGGAGCAGTGCAACCAAGGTGCCCCAAGGAGAGAGAATCTGGGAGTGAGTGGGGAGGGGAAAAAGGGAATAAAACAAACAAATGAAGGAAATCCCTCTGAGGACACTGCCAGGGGGTTGGATTCATGAGTGACACCGCTGATGCCAGGCAAAAGCTCCTGCACTGAAATTAGCACTGAAAGCATCAACTGTTAAACCAAAGAACCACGAGACACACACACACCTTACCCCACCAGCATCCCCTGGATGTCCCTCCTCCCCAAATGTCCCCTCTGGACCCCATGATTGGCACCTGGCACAGCCCAGGCAGTGCTGCAGTGGCACACACTGGGTTTGTCAGGTCCTGGGGGCAGAAACCATCCAGAAACCATCCAGAACCTGTCCCTGGGCTTCTCCTGAGGGCAGAAACCATCCAGAACCTGTTTCTGGGGGCAGAAACCATCCAGAACCTGTCCCTGAGCTGTTCCAGAACCTGTTCCTGGGCTGTTCCTGGGTGCAGAAACCATCCAGAACCTGTCCCTGGGCTGTTCCTGGGGGCAGAAACCATCCAGAACCTGTCCCTGGGTGCAGAAACCATCCAGAACCTGTCCCTGGGCTGTTCCTGGGGGCAGAAACCATCCAGAACCTGTCCCTGGGGGCAGAAACCATCCAGAACCTGTTCCTGGGCTGTTCCTGGGTGCAGAAACCATCCAGAACCTGTCCCTGGGGGCAGAAACCATCCAGAACCTGTCCCTGGGGGCAGAAACCATCCAGAACCTGTCCCTGGGCTGTTCCTGGGGGCAGCAGCTAAAGAGGAGCCGGCCCCACCGAGGCTGATGAGCTGCTGCCAAATTGAAAAGGTTTGATGTGGCAGGGACTGAGAAGGGTCCCAGAGCTATTGGTGGGGAACTCATCTGTATCTCATCAACATCCCAATTAACAGCCCCAGCCCTTGCACTGCTCTGTCTCAGGGCACCAGCAGGGCCTGTGGTTAAATGGAGACTGAGCAGCCCCACTTAGGATGGGGTCAGGGTCTGCAGATTCCCCTTCCCCATCCCTAAATCACAGCCACTCCTCACTCCCTTCCCTCCACGAAGTTCTCAAGCCTCAGCTCATGATTTACAGCAAATCACTCTGCTGCAACTCTGCAGTGTTTTTTAGAGGGGCAAAGAAAGGGGGGAAAAATATATATATAAAAAATAAAAAGATGACATTTACCAAAGGCAGCCCTTGTCAGATCTATAGATCACCAGCACATTAATGAGCCTGTGCTTTATCGAGCATCCTGTGAGCAGACAGAGCAGCTCTCATATGGCTGTGGAAAAAATTCCTCTGGTTAAGCTAAATCAGGAAAAGAAGCGTTTGGTGCGTTACATAAACAAATTAAAAATTGGATGTCAAAAAGCCCTGCCTCTCCTTGCCCAAAAGCAGCAGCGAGTTGGAGAATCTGAGTGTCTCTTAATTTGCTTCCTGGCTGGATCAGCCTCAAAATTTGGTGAATTCTCCATCAAAGCTGATGAGCTGGAAGTCCCTGTGGCTTCACTGGGTGGAAGGAGAGAGAGGAGGAGAGGGAAAGAGGGAAGGAGAGGAAGAGAGGAATGGGCAGAGCTAAAATGAGCTTGGTTAAAACTAAGCAGGGAACAGAAGTGTTTCAAACAAATCAGTTAATACAACCCTGGGGAGCAAGATTGTCTCCAGGATGTGAATGCCTGTTCTTTACCCTGTTCCTTTAATTAAAATATTTCTAATGATTTATTTAGTCACTTTCATTAAAAGAAGCCAGGCTGGCAACAAGAAAACAACCATTTATGGCACAGCAGAGCTGCCTGTGGGTTCTCTTTGCAGGAACGTGGATGGGAGGCAGGTTGGGAGGCTCTTCACAGTTAAACACATCTCAACAAACTCCTTTAGGCTGGCAGGGACCCTGACACCCCTCTGGGCACTGCTGTGGATCAGAAAAGCTCGCTGAGAAAGGGCGAAAAGGCAGAAAAGCTGAGTTTTATGAAAATCAGCTCTTTCCTGGTGGGTTTGTGACAGGGCAGGGCTTGCAGCCTCCCCCAAGGAGGAGGGGACCCCAGAAAATACCACAGGGGTCCAGAGGCCCTTTTTGTCCCCAGAGCATCTCCCTGAGCCCAGGAAACCTTTCTCTATTCTTTAGTATATTTTTAGTTTAGCATTCTAGAATAATATAATATAATATAATATAATATAATATAATATAATATACTAATATATTATAGTATAGTATAATATACATTATTACAGGGTCTGCCCTGTCCTTCCAGCACTTTCTCCCTGAGGCTGGAAGTGTTACATCCCTGCAGCCTGATGGGGAATTTGGAAACCTTCATCCCACAGCAGCTTCCCTGGCCATGTCACACACACAAAGCTCCTTTTTCACCGAGCTGTTACAACAGGTCAGCAAAGGTTTTCTCCTGTCACAGCAGGTTTGTGGGGAAGAAATGAGATTTTATTCTCAGGGCAGATCAGGCTGCAGTCACAGCTCCCCACGGAGCTCTGGGAGAAGCTCTGCTCCAAAAGGACCTGTGAGTTTAACGTGCCACACTCCAACACATCCAAACCAAAGCTGTCACAGGGAGCTTTGCAGCCTTTCCCTCCTGAATCCACCTGAATTTGTGCTCTTGTTAATGCAGATGGGCTTGGATCTGTCACTTCTGTTCAGAGGGTGATGGCTTTGGGAGAGGATTAAAAGGGCATTGATGCTGCGAGAGATCTCTGTGGGGAAAATGCCATCGTGATCCCCCCTGCTCGCTCAGAGAAAGGCAGCATCAAAGCCAAGCTGCCACTTGACAGGTAAGAACTGGCAGGTAACATCCTTGCCAAGGCTGAAATTCACTGCTGCCAGGCCAGGAGAGGGTTCCTGGTGCCAAAATGCTCTGCTGGTGAGGGTAGGGTACAATAGCTTTTGTTCTCTGCCAGCATCTAGAAGTGGCAATCTCTGAGAAAAGGGCAGCAGTGGAGCTGTCAGCAGGGAAACAAGACAGATGAAACCTCTTTTTTAAATCTTTTTCTTTTCCTGAATAAGGTTTGGATTTACCAGCAAATTCCTTGGATTTGTGTCACGCAATCTCATCAGTCTGATACCCTCAGCTTCAGCTCAAACCAGAAAATATGGCTCGGGCAAGAAGTGTGAGGTGAGGAAATACCACTCAAATTAATGATTCTAATGAAATCTGCTCGGTGTTCTGTGGGCAGAGGAAAGCTGTGAAGAACCTACGAGCACCGAGACAAAAAGTAAATGAGTGTGAGCTGAGCAAACCTGTTAGAGAGGAGCCAGAAACCAGGAGTGAAACGAGCTTGAACTTCCCCTCACAGGGGGGAGATGATGGGGAGCTCCTCACATGGGTTTGCCCCATTTGCTTTCCCTCACAGAAACAGTTTGAAAATATTCACAGTACCCATTTTTTTCCCTATTTCATATAAAATCCTCCAATTTTCCCCCATTCAAATAATTTTAAGCCACAAGCTTAAGAAGTAAAGGAGTGTGAGTGTGAGCTTGCACTTGGCCCAGACTCCCTGCCCTGAATTAGTACCTAGGACAGGCCAGAGACTATTCACATTTTTTTTTCCTATTTCACAGAAAATTCTCCCATTTTTTCCCCCATCCAAATAAATTTAAGCAAACACAGCTACAACCTTAAGAATTAAAGGAGTGTGAGCTTGCATCTGGCACAGACTGCCTGCCCTGAAATAGCACCTGGACAGGGCAGAGATTGCTCTGCCATCACCCCCTCCATTCCCTGATGGATTCACACAAATCCAAACCATCCTGAGGCACATGCCTGATAAAATCCAACACGCTGAGTTTGCCAGAGCTAAGGTGACACCCCAAGGACCTCATGGTGCAAACAAGGGGGGTCTGTCACCATCATATTTTCTGAAAAATCCCTTCACCATGATTTCTTCTCCTGGGAAGATGTGAAGCCTCAAAAAAAATGAAAGCAATAATTATCTGATTTGCTTCTCCTGTGTTTTGCTGCTTTGGAATGTGATTGGACATTGTTTACCAACTGGTCATTGTTTGATTAATTTCATGTGAATTGTTTTTACTTAATGACCAATCACTGTCCAGCTGTGTTGGACTCTGGAGAGAGTCACAAGGTTCATTATTATCTTTTTAGCCTTCTGTCTGTATCCTTTCTGTATTCTTTAATATAGTTTTAGTATAATATAATATAGAATAATATAATATATTTAGTATATAATATATATACTATATATATTAATAATAATAAAATATATAGTATAATATAATATAGAATAATATTGTATAGTATAATATAATGTACTGTAGTATGATGTAATGTAGTGTGATGTGATGTAGTGTGATGTGATGTGATGTGACACGATACAATACAGTATAATATAATATAATATAATATAATATAATATAATATAATATAATATAAATCAGCCTTCTAAGAACATGGAGTCAGATTCATTCCTTCCTGCAATGGGGGACCCCAGAAAATCCCACAGAGGTCCAGAGCCCCTTTTGGTCCCCCCCAAGCCCAGGACACCTCCCAGCCCTCCCCAGCTGCTCTCACCTGCCTGAAGCCACCCCGGGTGTGCTGCAGGATTTTCAGGGCGTAGTTGGAGCGTTGGCCTTTGCTGTTGAATTCGATGTGGCCGGTGAGACCTTCCAATTCTACCTGTCCAAGAGAGACTCAGTTACAGCGCCCAGCGAGGCTGCCCCACCCCACTGCAGGCATCCTTATGAAATTCCCTTGTCTCATTTACACCCAGACTCAGAAACCTGCTCCTGCTGCATGGTCACCTCAGCTCTGAGGAGTTACAAATTCCAACTATTTCAAAAAGCTTGGATTTCAGAGTGTTCTCGTGCCAGATTTAGGCTTGTTTCGTTCCAGAAATGACAATTTTGGGTTCAAAGGAGCCCAAACCCATAGGGGAACTTACATCTTGCCCTTGAGTTCTGAGCAATTGTACTGCATGATCTCGTATCAGCTCAAGTCAGAGCTCGAATCACTTAGAAACATTCATACTTTAAACCAAAACCAAACAATTGAATTCCAGCTTTTCTGCAGCAGAGCCTCAGAAAGGGAGAGTTTCATGTCATTCCAAGGCCGGTGACTGTCGCAGACATCTTTTCTGGAAAATCCTTTCCTTAGGATTTTTCCTCCTGAGAAGCTGGGAGGCCTCAGGAACAAAATGTAAACAATGGTTATCTGCTGCTGTGGAATGCAACAGGTGCATCTGGGATTGGTCTCATGTGGTTGTTTCTAATTAATGGCCAATCACAGTCAGCTAGCTTGGACTCTCTGTCTGAGACACAAACCTTTGTTATTCAGTTTTTCTTTTTCTATTCTTAGCCAGCCTTCGGATGAAATCCTTTCTTCTATTCTTTTAGCATAGCTTTAATATAATATATACCATAAAATAATAAATCAGCCTTCTGAAACATGGAGTCAGATCCTCGTCTCTTCCCTCATCCTGGGACCCCTGTGAACACGGTCACAGGTGACAACCCAAACGCTCACATCTCACATTCCAGTGCCTCCAAAGAGCCCTGTGGCAGCCAGGAGCAGCCCTTAGCCCCCTCTCACCATTCTCAGGTAGTTCATGAGGCTGGTGCCGTGCTGCCAGATCTGTGCAGAGCCGCAGGACAGGGGCTTGACGCCGATCTCCTGGCTGCGGTTCAGCTCCTGCACCGCCGTCACCACCGCGTACACGGCGTCGAACAGCAGCGCCGAGGACAGCTGCGGGGGGAAACACAGGGAAAAATCAGCTTGGAGCACAAAATCCCCCATCCTGCTGCTCCTCGGAGCTGGAGAGTGCTCTGTGCACAGCCTGGGGTTGTCACTCTGGTTCTATTAAGTTTTTCCAAGCCTTCTGCTGTTTAAATTCTTGTAACGAACTTTCTCGCGCACGTTATGTAAATAACTCACTGTAAATAACTTATTGTAAATAACTATATTTTGTACTATATTATCGTACTATAAATTAGTGTGTTTATTTATTTTTTGTGCTTTTTGTCCCCTGAAAACACTTCCAAGCTTTTGAAGTTGAAGGTTTTGTTATGCTTTGATCTTTAAATAGGCAATCACTGGGTGAGGGAATGAATATAGCGTGTTTATTTATTTATTTCATGTCTTATAGTGACTTGGGGTCACCTGGGGTGCCCTTTGTGTGGGTTCATTTCATCCATCACTGTCGTCTCTCTGTCTCTGCTTGTCCTTGTTGCTTCCCAGTCCTTTCTATCTCAGTTTCTGCAGCTTTCCTTTCCTAACCAAGGGAGGTTTTTCAGCGTTTTGGTGGCTCTGATCAGTCTGCTGGCCAGGGGGAATGCTCCTGAGAGAGCAGGAATTTCCAGGGGGAATTGCTCCTGAGAGAAGCAGGAATTGTCATGGGGAATTGCTCCTGAGATCTGATGGCTGCTCCCACAGAAGGGAACTCGACTGTGCTGCTTCAGCCATCATGGGCAGCCTTCTCTGACCACTTCTATGACAGGAAGACCCACAAGAAATTATTGCTAGATGTGCTTGTCCAGCAGCCAAATCCTGCCTTTCAGACCCCACAGACATCATCCATCCCTCTCCACAACCTGCAGCAGCAGTGCTGAGGGAATGTCCAGAGTGTCAGAGCTCATCCCCTCTCCTGCTCTCCTTGGCTTTGGCTGCTTTGTCCAGGTTTCTTTGCCCACCAACCTCACAACCTCCATTTCCCACTCATGCACAGCAGTTTCCATGGCTTTGGGCTCGTTAACAATCAGCTATTTTCCTCCCTCGTGCTCACTGTTGCAGCTGAGATTTCACTTTTAATTACTGTCACCTCCTGACTGCTGGAATTAAGCCGTTGCAGCTCATTACGATCAAGGCTGCATTTTCCCCATGGATGCTTCCAAGAGCATCCTCTTCCCATCCCAGCTCCTGGCACAGGGCTCAGTCTCCAGCCTGGCTGTGATTTCCAGCCCTGCATCCTCTGCTCCTCCCAGAGCCTGACCAGGTTTATTCACTGCTGCAGGGTCAATCTCACCCAGCTCAATGATCCCAACAATCCTTGGCCTTCCATTCTCTTGCTAATTTTGACTCAACCCTGCTTGGTCTTAGACCTCACTGACCACTCTGGTGTGAGATTAGACACTTAAAAAGCAGCACAAACCCCTCAAAACCTAAAAAAATGAAGAGGCAGGATTCCATCAAAACCCCAAACACCAGCTCTGACAACACCAGTGAACTTTCACTCCTCCAACCTGCTGAGGCTGACCCAAACATTCCCCTCCTGGAAAACCTTTTCCAGAGGTTCTTAAAGAAGCTGATAAATTCTTCTCTCCTTCTTTTATCCTTTTAATACAAATTCTTTTCCTAACAAAGCTTCTCCAGCCTGCCCTGCCCTCAGCCCCTGCTCCATGAAGCTCTTTCCATGCACTTAATTTTAATTATGAATTTAATCCTGTTCAGGTTACGGGATCTCACACGCAATTTGCAATTCCTCTCCTGAATCAGGAACCATATTAACATCAGCTGGACAAATGAAACTGTTATGAGACCAAACACATCCTCACAACCCCAGAATTTCCCCCATTTCCTACCAAATCTGAATATTGGCCCAGCATTTTTTAATTTCCTCCTGCTAGGTTTCCATTTCCATTTTCCCTGAGCAGTTAATCCCTTATTAGATGGTGAGCAAGAGACTTGTAGATCTCAGTGAAGCATTTGACATCATTGATTGGAATGTTTTACTTCTGAATTCTGGAAAATTCATCAGGATTTCTGCCATCACCCTTTATGATTTCGTGCAATTTAAGTACTGGGGAGGGTGTGGAGAGACACAGGATCAAGTTCTTGTGGCATGGAATAGGAATCCCTTCCCTGCACCCTGATTTTGCACAGAAAAGAGGTAAACCACTAAATTTTGAGGTCATAATTTTCAGCAGAGGAGTGAAAAGAGATTTTTGGAGTGTCCTGCAGGCAGATCCAGCCAGAGGGATCTGTCCCTGCCCTCCTGTGCATTGCTCAACTTTGCCCATAAAAACCTCTCACTGCTTTTATATTCTCACTTTAAACCACAGCTTTGTCCCTGTGTCACAAAAAGCCAATTTTCCTGCTAACAAATTGACTCTCTCCCTCGCCTGCACTCTGATTTGTGCAGAGCCCCTGTTGGTTTTGTGCTCTTCTGCAAAATCAGATGTCCATGGAAAATCCATGGGGATTGGGGGGACTTCCCTCAGTCCCCAAATTCCTGACAATTCTTGCCACTGAAACATGAACAGGTTTGAGTTTTGCCATGTGGGGTTTTTCCTTCCCTCCCTAAAACATTATCAGCTGTATCTTTGCCCCCAAACCCAACACGGGGAATTAAAGCCATTAAAACCCTGTGAAAATAGACTTTGCAATCTGGATTTTATTCAATGACATAAACACTTAATTACAAACATCTGTTTGAGCCTAAATTCTAATTACCAAATCTAGCCATCTGTAATTTGAATGATTTTCTCTGATTTCCTTTCTTTGCAATGTGATTAATGAGGATGCCATCGGAGCAGGCAGCTCCCTCCTCCTTTGTCAGATGCTTCCTCAGCTCCAGCAAGAACGCCCTGGGATTTCTGCAGCTCACAGGAAACCTCCCTCCTGTCACTTCCAGCTGTTGAGACTCCTTTTCTCTCTTTAGGATGAGTTATCCCACAAAATAACTCCATCCCAAGGCTGCAAACAGAGATACTCCCTGCCAGATTTCCAACAGCAGAGGCAGAAAGGTCCTGGATTCACCTCACAGACAAAACAAACTCTGCTTGGGAATATTTCACCTGTACTCTGTAATTTCCCTACCCTCAAATCCTTTGCCCATCTTGAAGAATTCCAGTCCCTCCAGGCATCCTCCCACCTGCAGGATTTGCTGGATGCTCAATACAACCCAGGGTAAGAACCTAAAATGAGAATTTTCATTTCCCCGTCGCACCTGCTGCTGATTCCTGATGCCTCCTGTTTGCACTGGGAGGAGGGAATTTGTTTTTAATGCCTCTCCACAGCCCTGCAATCCAAAAAGGAATTTTCCTGCTGGAAATCCCATGGGGACTGAGCAGGGCAAGCTGATTGCAGCTGCCTCTGGGTGGGAGGGAGAGCAGGATGGTCCCAGCACAGGAGCTCAAGCCAAGCCAAAGGATGTGGACACAAAGGGCAAAAAAAATCTCCTTATTTTTCCTCTCAGGGCTCCCTTTGTGCTGACAATAAGGAGGTTTTCAGCAGCTCAGCTCGTCAAGGGGCTCTGAGTTCATTAAAACCCATGCAAAGGGTTCAGCTGATGATATTTTCCTCTCTCTCTCTCTCCTCTCACAGCTGCAGCTGCGATGTGGCAAATCTGCTTTGCAAACTCTCCCAGTGGTGGAGAATCCCTGGGGAATGCTCCAGTGCTGATGTGCACCCTCCTCACCCTCCTCAGGGAGCTGCTGGAGCACAGCTCAGCCCCTCCTGGGCCATCTGCAGCCACTGTCCCCCCTGCACGAGCCGCTTTCCTGGAGTTTAAACACTCAGGGATAAACTTCACCAGGGAAAAACCAAATCAGAGCTGCATCACCCCCTGCACCCACACAGAAATGCAATCTAAATCAAGATTAGGCTGGAGTTTAAAGCTGGGCTCCCAGTTCAGCACAGAGCTCTGCACCCCAAGGTTCTTTGGGCAGCTCTGACTCTTGGGGTCACTTTGCTGCTTTCCACATCCTCTGTAAATCACAGATTGACAGCTCAACTCCTCTCCTACCTACTTAATAAAAATGTTCTGCTCTGGCTCTTCCTTCCCATTCCTGGAGCAGCATCTCCTCATAAAATCTAATCCGAGGTACAACAGCAGCCTGGGGATATCCCTGAGCTCTTTAGCACAAGATTAAATAAGATTAAATAATTAAATTATTTAATAATTCAAACAACTTTTAAAAAAATTATTTGAGACCAGAGTTTCTCCTCCTGAGTGGCTCAGGACCATCCTGAACTTCTTCCCACAAGGTTTTTCCATTATTACCAGAATTCCCAGGTTCTGAGGGATGGGAATGGATTTTACTTACTGCTGGCCCAGTGAAAGGAGCGTGGTCACAATTCTCCTGCCAGGACTGGTTGAGGCTCTGCACAAACTCCTGGAAGAAGGCGTGGGACTGGTTGAAAATGGAGAACCCCAGGATGTTGACTCGGTCGTCCAGCAGGGTGTCCAGGCGCTGGAGGGAAAACTCCTACAGAACAGAAAATGGGATTAGAGGGGAAAACAGGCACTGAAACCTCAAACCCACTCAGTGTCCTTGAAGGGAACGGGAGCTGTGAGATCCCGGATGTGAAACCCATGCAGATGTTGGAAGGGAGAGCCTGGGTTTTAACAAGGATTTAATTCAGGTTACCACTCACCTCAGGCTTTTAATGATAATAAAGAACCTTAATAAAATTTCCTGTCTCATTTACACCCAAACAGACTCAGAAACCTGCTCCTGCTGCATGGTCACCTTGGCTCTGAGGAGACACAAAGTCCAACTATTTCAAAAAGCTTGGATTTCAGAGTGTTCTCGTGCCAGATTTAGGCTTGTTTCGTTCCAGAAATGACAATTTTGGGTTCAAAGGAGCCCAAACCCATAGGGGAACTTTTAATGAAGATATCACCCAAGTCCAGTGCTTTATTGGCCAAATTCCACTAAAAAAAAACCCCAAAACCCTCCAAAGAGGGCATCAGTCACCTGCTGAGTGAAGCTATCACCACATCCGATTTGGTGACATCAAGTTTCAACTGTTCAATTAAATCAGTTCTTTCCCACAAGAGGAGGAAACAAATTCTGCCTGACCCTAAAAACCCCCAGCCCTTCGCTGCTCCTTTCTGCTGCCACGTCCCAGGAGGAGATGCCACCCTAATGCCCTGGGGAGGGTTGGAGGGTGCCTTGACTGTGAATTTTGGAGTTGGGAGCCTCCTCTTGCATTTCTGCAAGTGCTAAGAAGTATAAAAACAACCACATTTAAAAAAAAAATTAGTATAAATTTTTTATAAGTACACTTTAAAAAATTATATTTAAAAATATATTTAAAAATATAAAATCTATTAAAAAACACATTTAACTATATTAAAAAAAATTAAAGTGCGGGGTTCAGTTTTGCTCCTCAGATCCACGGAAGCAGCTACACAACAAAGCCTGGGGAAAAGCCCAGCCCTCCTTGTCCTATTAGCAGGGAATAATGGCACTTCCCTCACTAATTTCTCTTCTGCTAATTGCTGAAGTAGAGTGAGAAGGTGGGAGACACTTGCAGCAGCTGCTGGATGCCCATCACGGATCCAGCTGTCCCTGGGCTCCCTGAGGGATGAAATTCCAGCAACTTGAGCCATTTTTTATCTTTGCTGGGCACACAGGAGCAATTCCTGTAAATCTCCCAAAGGTGGGACTTTACAAACTGCTCCAGCCCAGCCAAGTCCCACGGGAATGCAGGATGGAGCACATTTTGGACTCGTTGGTGTTGGGTAATGTGAAATTGCCTGTGAACTATTGATTCATTTGAATGATATTCTCGCCCTGCCTTGCTGACAGGTGATCCATTCACGCAGGGCATGCTGTCAGCCCCAGCGAGCAGGGCAGATGGCTGATGGATCCTAAACCCTGTAAAATCCTCTGTAAAATCCTCTCTCCCCACAGCCAGAGCCTCCAGGCAAATCGTGCAGGGCACCAGGCAAACAGCTGCCCCATTGCCCTGTTGGCTTGGGGATATCCAGGAGGAAAATGAGATGTTTTGTCACAAAATCCGAGGTTTCATCTCGTGCCAGGGCAGCTGAAATGAGCGTGTTTGTTTAATTATTTATTGTGCCTTTTGTCCACCTGGAAACGCTTCCAAGCTTTTGAAGCTGAAGGGTTTGTTATGCTCTGATCTTTAAATAAGCAATTCATGGGCGAGGTAATGGTCTCAGTTCATGTGGGGAAACTGAGGCAGGGGTGAGAGGTCCATCCAACCCTCTCCAAATCCACCTATTTCCAGATGTAGAAAACCCCATTTCTGTGGCTGTCACATCCATAGAGCATCACCTCTGTGGCACACAGGTGTGGCACGGCCTGGACCCTGCTCCCTGTCCCCTCCCTGTGCTCCAGCTCCCTTTTTTGGCCATTAAATGCCTTTCCAGCAGTGGAGCAGGCAGCAAACGAGCCGTGAGCTGCCTATGCAATGAGATGGAGATAAACCACCCGAGGGGGACACACTTCATTTGCCGTGGGATAAGAGAGATTTGGTAAGGTCAGGCTTTGCTGCGGAGGGCAAAGGGGCGAGAGCATCCCCACACTCCCAGAGCTGCCAGCTCAGCTTCTGGCCCTATTTGTTGAGGTTTTTTTTTTTCCTCCTCCTTTTTACACTCGCTCACCGTGCTTGACATTTCCAAACCCACGTTTTGCAAACAAAACCTGGTTTGCTATTCCAGACCTGCACCTCTCAGCTGATTTCCCACCCGTCCTGCCCTCCTCCCATGCTGCAAGAGGCAAACACAGGCAGGAGAAAGGGTGGGAAACCCCTGATCTCAGGGGGATTTTCAGGTAGGAAACTCCTGAATTCAGGGATATTTTCAGGTGGGAAACCCCTGATCTCAGGGGGATTTTCAGGTGGGAAACCCAAGGATTTCTCTCTGAGATGCAGTGAAAGATATTCCTACACAAAATGCTTTCCCAGCTGACTTTTTCGCCTCCTGGAGTTGCTCTCCCTCATCCCCAGTGCTGGCTGGAGCTTCTGCAGGATAGAAGCTTGCCAATGCAATAAGAGCAAAGAGCCATTAGGAAAATAACACTGCCATCCTGTTTAAGAGGGGACTCCAAGCCTCCTCCACCTGTGCAAACACTGCTTTATAACCACAGGCTTTCAGAAATTGCCATCAAAATGATGGGTGCAAACAGCAGCTCCCTCGTTTCCTCCCATTCTGGGTTTTTTTATCCCTCTCCCTGCATTGGAGGAATTGCAGGAATTGCCCAAAACTTGGCCCTCAATCTCAGTCCAACATGAGGCACAGAGACCACCAGGAATCGTGCCAAGGTGAATTTCAGGGACACAAATCCTGCCTGCATCAATTCCTCCCCCTCTTTCCACTCTGTTTTTGAAAACACCCACCACACGTCAATACTCTGTTTCAAGAGAACTCGGTAAAAAAAAATTAGACCCGGAGGATCTGCAGCCAAAATTAATGAACTTTTTTACAGAAAGAAAAAGATCCCCAGGCCTTGCTCCGATCACAGCAAATTCAGCAGCAGGCACCAGCAGGCAATTACAGTGTAGATTTTCTGACTGCTACTACAGGGCTGCAACCACGAAATGTGTGCTGTTAAATAACAACACTTAGCAGTTCCGTGGCATTCTGTATTTTCCCGAGTGCTAGGCACACAATTAGCTAATTGAATTCCACGGGGTTCCCTGGGAGACGGTGCTGGAGGAGTTATTAGAGGATGAAGTCACTGCCTGGCTTTCTGCAGCGCTCTCCACCTGCACTCTTCGCTTTCCAGCAGCACAGAAATCTCCTGGAATGACCCCAGAACTGAGGGCACTGGAAGGAGCTGGTTAATAAAAGCCACAGAGGTGAGCTCTGTGATCCTAAAGCCATGAGATGGGATTTTCCAGTTATGAGCAGATCTGCAGGACACTCTCCCCGTTCTTTAGGGACACAAAGCCAGCAGGAACCAGTGATGCTCTCTGCAAGTCTGGATGGAGGATCAGATGATCCCAACCAGGATTCTGCACCCACAAATCCTCTCCCACCTCAGGTGGCTCCGTGAATTTGGGAGGGAATTGTCCCTCCTGCCCTGCCTCTGAATTTGGGAGGGAATTGTCCCTCTTTCCCCTGTCCATGTCACTGAATTTGGGAGGGAATTGTCCCTTCTGTCCTTCTCCTGTCACTGAATTTGGGAGGGAATTGTCCCTCCTGTCCTGCCTGTGTCACTGACTTTGGGAGTGAATTGTCCCTCCTTTCCCTGTCCATGTCACTGGGTTTGGGAGGGAACTGTCCCTCCTGCCCTGCTCCTGTCACTGAATTTGGGAGGGAATTGTCCCTCCTGCCCTGCCTGTATCACCCTGGGACAGCATGTGAAGGGCCAGCCCAGCAGGAAATTGTCCCTGTCACAATTGCCTGGCAAAAAAAATGTATTTTAAAGCATGGAGCCACCTCCCCTGCCCTGCCACACTGGGATGTCCCTCCTGAGAGAGGCTCCTGGTGGTTTTTCCCCCTGCAGCAGCCTCTGTGCTGCTGAGCACTGCAGCAGCTCCTGAGCTCCTTCCAGCATTGATTTTGCTGCTGATCCTGTTCTGCAGCTGTGTGTGAGTGCAGGACCTCGATCTTTATCTCATTTTTAATAACCCAGAGTGCCTGGGCAGTGGGGAGGCAGTGAGCACAAGCTGGAAACAAGCCTAAAGAGAGGATCTTTCACTGCCAGGCACACCTAGACCCTGTCTGCACAAAACTGCACCCAGTGAATTGCCCTGCCTGACTTGAGGCACTGGGAAACCTCCTTTACACCTTTCCCCCTTAGAGTAATAATTTTAATTGTTTCAATTCTTCCCATCTAATTGTCAAATATTTTGAAATGTAAACCCAAGGCTCTGGAAGGAGCAGGGTTTGCTCAATTCAGGCTGCACCAACAGCAAGATGCCAACTCCATCCCTCTTCCACACACAGAGTTTTATCTTCCTCTCCTAATCACTGCAAGGACTTTATTGGAATTTTTGACCTGCTGATTAACAGCCTCCAAAACACCCTCCAACAGGAGAAACTCACTGCTGGAAACTCAGCACTCACCTCGCTCCCCTCCAGCACCAAAAGCTGATTTACACCTGATTTACACCCGATTTACACCAGGCCCAGGACACTTTGTGCTGTTCCTGCTCTTTTTTCATGTGGGATGGGAAAGGAGAACACTGGGCCAAGGCTTCCATTTCTCTATTAAACCCTGGCTCTGGCAAAACCTCCTTGTTCAGAGAGTTTGGTGCCCAGGAAAGCTCTCCAAAGCCAGAGTGCAATGTCCATCCTGAGACTTCTTGGCAGCTTTTGTGCAAGAGCCAAACCTGCAGTGCCAGCTCAGCACAGCTCTGGTGACATCACCTGTGTGTGTCATTATTCACCATTTTAGGGTTAATAAAACATCCCATTATTCACCATTTTAGGGTTAATAAAGAATCCCATTATTCACCATTTTAGGGTTAATAAAATATCCCACTATTCACTATTTTAGAGTTAATAAAG